AAAGATTTATTGGATATCTCATGAATAAGAGTAAGGTTCCACAGACAGATCCCCCCCGGCCCTCCAGCTGACAAAGTTAATTATTCTGAAAAATTATTCCCCTATTAACGAAAAACCCCCCCCAGCCCTCCGCTCGTCCTATGCTAACACCTTTTCGGAGACTTTGTACTTGGAAAAGCGAGCCTCGATCTCGTTCCAGGAGTCGAGGTCGATCATCTGGTTGAACTCCTCGAAGGTGGCCAACTTGTGAAGCGCTTCCCGGGTGGTGCCGGCCTCCTTGAGGATCCTCAGCACCTCGGTCATTCCCCGGGTGGCGGCGTAGAGGGTGGTCAGGCAGTGCTCGACGATGTGGAAGCCCATGGCCTGGAGTTCCTGCGGGGTGCGGAGGGGCGTGATTCCCCCCTCGATCATGTTGCTGACCCTGAGGCCCTTGGTGCGCCGCCCAATCTCCCTCAGCTCCTCCTCGTTCCTCGGCGCCTCCACGAAGCAGGCGTCCGCCCCCGCGTCGTGGTACAGGTTAGCCCGATCGATGGCGTCGTCCAGCCCGTTCGGTCCGCGGGCGTCCGTCCGGGCAATGAGGAAGAAGTCCGCGTCTCCGATAGCGTCCCTCGCCGCCGCGATCTTGGCCGCGTGCTCCTCGGCAGGGATCACCTTCACGCCACGACCATCACCGCGTCATGAATATGTAAGGAAATTTCGCAGGAAGTTCTTAGCGGACCAGCGAGGAGGCAGGGGTGGAGAGAATGAAGAGATGATTACCGACTTGCCGCGCATGTGCCCTAGTGGGAAGAAAAGACGAGCCAGAAAAACAGGAGGAGAATATGAGCGTCTCTTGGCTTGAAACTAAGAAAGTAGATAACAAAATAAGACATTTAAAACCATACCACACTTCTTTGGCCAGGCCTGGTCCTGTTAGCGAGAGAGAGATGATGGTTCAGTAACGTCGTAAAGAAAGAATAAGAGGAAGGAAGGACGAGGTATTGAGTTCTCAGGTACCTCGAGGAAGCATCCCGCGACGCCGGCGGCGATGAGATCCTTGACGGTCCTCTGAACATTAAGAGCGTTGCCGCCGCCGGTGTCTGAAACTCGGCGCCAAAGCTCCTTAGATCAGTATTTTTTTTTCTTAAAAATCATTGCGAAGTGTTGAATTATCATTTAGTTTTTTGCAACCCAGCCCGTTGTAACACTGATAATTTAGAAGTACAGTTCATGATTTCATGCAAAATAGATATGGTCGGAAAGGCGTTGTAATAAGCTAGATTTAATTTCGTGGATTATAATGGCTGAGGTAGGATGGTGGATTAATTATCTATAATGGAGGCATAGGGTAAAGTGATGGATTTGCGAGGCTAATTCGAACGCCGATGTTCCTTCATCGAAGGTTACGACCATCCTAATGTAGCCGTTTGGCCGGAAGCTTTTGATCTGACCCATGCTTAGTAACGTTATCCAAAAACTGCGTCCTTCATGCCGGGGTTTGGGTGAACGGGGAGGAGATCATACCGGCGTCGGCGATGATTGGGATGCCGGGGGCGGCGGCGCAGATGAACCTAGCGCTCTCCGCCATCTCCGGCGGCCTGGGCATTGCGTGAAACGAAGATAGTTAGAAATCTTCCTCAGAAAAGAGATCGCTTGTGTTCATGGGGTTTCGGGATCGGAACGCACGTGAGAAGGCCGATATCGGGCAAGCCGAGGCTGGCGGCGGAGAGGGCGTAGCCGGAGATAAAGGCGGCGCTGAAGCCTGTCTTCTGAATAATGGCCGCCGACAGCGCGTCGAAGCACCCGGGCATCAGCACGATCCCGTCCTTCTCGATTGCCTTGTGGAACCGCGTCCTCCCGCTACCCGCCTCCGCCTTCACCGCCCCTCTGCGGAATGTCGCCGGCGGCAGGCTCCCCCTCCGGCACCCCTGCAGGCGCCTCCCGGCGGCGGCTCCGGCCGCGCAGGGGTTCACTGTCAGCATCGCCATGGAGGTCGCCATCTTCCTGTTCGGGTGCCGAAGGGGAACGAGGGGAGCGAGAGTGCAGTTGCGGAGAAGTGGCGACAGATGAAGGAAGCATATTTCCACCTTGTTTTATATAAGCGGGTCGACAGATCACGTTGGTATCCGCCTAACTCGCACGAGCTGGAAAATGACTCATACCGGTAACTTCGCCGAACTGTGGGCGGCCGCAGCTATAGTGTCTCCTATGAGGCAGGCCCGGTGTGGGCCACAGGTAGCAGTCTGACAGCCAGTTATAACTGGAATCTGCCGGGCGATCCGAGTTTGTCCGAGGTGACCCAGCCCATCCGAGTTTGATAAGCTCCGATGGCTACAGGAGTTGCATGCGGTACTGTTAGAGGGATAAACTCGGGTAAATGGTGGAAAACCGAAGAGGCCCCTTTGTCGTATGGTACAGTTTTCAAAAAAATAAATTATGCATGAGGTTTTATCTTTTCCACTTTACACTTAGTAAGTTGCATAGTGATATGTTGTAGATACCAAAGTTGAGAATGGTTGGTAATGGTCTATACTTAACTACATACAAGAGAGATTAACTTTCTATCTCTCTTTGTCTATCTGTTTTCCACTCTGCTTTTATGTGTGTGCAGTGATGCCTATTATGTTGAATGGTTGAGAAATGTAAAGTTTTCTTTGAGGATTAAGCCACCACAAGGCCTATGGTACGAAGAGATTTACACTGGTTGTTCCTATTATGCCTTTGATATGAAAGAGGACTATTTTTTTGCAATGATGGTGATAAAAAAACTATGCATGAATGAGCATACTTGTAGGACTCTCTTCTTTATTTCCCTTTCAATATTAACTTGTTACTAATATGCATTGACTTTAGAATTGATATTTTTTTGTGTTAACAAGATGGACGTATGTCTAAGATGATAGTTTATGTAATCATAATGTTAATATTGTATTGCATAAATATTCATTACCAATAATTATGAATGTAAAAAAAAATTAAACTACTTGAAACATTGTAGTTCTATTTATTTATACTTTAACAAAATGATTCAACTAAGAAAGTAAACCTACTTCACATGAAACAGAGAAAAGACCAATCAATTGCAAGTCATAATATAGGAATAGATGAAAATGGGGCATAGTTGACCATGCAGTCTTGCGTTGTCCCTCATTTGATGTACACTATCTCATGCAGTCCAACATTATTCTGTGCCATTTCACATCGTCTTTATTTAGTTATAGATTAACTCATTATTATTTTGATGATTTTTATACATTAATATGAAATTATGAAATTGATAATATGTGATGTAAATTTAATTAGAAGTGAATGTATTAAATGACATTAAAGAGTATATATTATTTCAGCAAAGAACTAATGTCAAGATCATATGAAATATCTCACTATATTTCAATTTTTATGTCAAGTGAATATGTTATAATTATTTGTGTAAATCTTAATATTTGTATTTTTATATCAAATGGCTTCATTAATAAAGGCATATTTATAAAAAATAAAAAGACATGAATGGAGAGTCAAATGAAAGAAAATTATGAGAAATTGATTAAAGTATTAATTTTATAAGATTAGTGATTTAATATATTTGTGCACAAGAAAAATAGTCTAAAGGTTTGACCCTTCTTAGTAAAATAATTTTATCTTAGAAAATGTGTCACATATAGGTATGATGGTTAATAAGTCTCTATTATCATGAGTTAATAGTTAGTTTAATGATATTTTTTATGTATTAACTCATGATAAATAGCCTTATATTTACTTTAAATCGAGAAAAATAATTTTTACATGACTAATGTGAATTTATTGTTAATTATGTGATTTTTATATTCATATTTTCACATTTAAATAAAAATTAAAAAAATTAAAAAAGGGAGAACCTATTGACTAGCAAGCACTCGGTAGTCAACCCAAACGGTGTTGCCCTCGAGTGAGTGGACCTAGATTGGGTAAAACTATGAGTTGAGCTCTAGTGGCTAAGGACCCATGGATACATGTGCATCACTCTTTCAGATCATTAGGGCTAAATCAGTGCGAGGGGTAACATATGATCTCGTCACATGTGTGTTGTGTGGAGGCAGACCACTTGGTATAGTCTTCATCACAAGTGGTCCTCTACTCATTTTATTTATGAGAGAAGGAACTTGTATCCAGAAGATCTAAAACTCCTCAAAATAATTAGTAGGACTAAATCACTATCAAGTCTTGACATGACTTAGTCGTTGTATATTAAATCATGTAAATTTAAAATTTATAAAACTAGAAAATACGGATTTTTAGATATTTAGAAGTATTTATGAACAAATATATCAATTATAATTCAATAAAACTTCCAAAAATAGTGATAATTTTTCAGGTCAATAATAAGGATGTAATATAATATCTTGTAATTATTCAGAAATTTCCTCAAAGAATACTATTTTCTATGAATTTTATACTAGGAAATGAAAAGAAAATATATTTAAAATTCACGAAAAAGGAAAATAAGGGTGCAGACATCACGATGATGTCAGCGCCCGGCGAACACGAATCGAGCGAAAATAGAGTTCCGCCCGGTGATTTTTATGTAAGTGATTATAGATAATTTAATTGATCAAATTAAGATCAGTAAAATCTGAAAGAATTGTAATTGAATGAAGTATATCTTGGTAAATTTAAATCACACAAATTATCACTAAATGAAGTGGAAAGTAAGTTAAAAGCAGGAAAACAAAGTTCTGGCGTCGCAACGGCGATGCGTTAGTATTGCACCAGAATCCTGAGCATTCGAGAGGATCGTTGTGTAGTGTCGACGGCCTCAAAGGCTCTCCTTGAACAAAGACGACGTGCACAATCTCTAGATCTCCTTGCGAAGTCTAGAGATCAATGAAATGGGTTGTCGAATCGTCTATGGCGGCTGTCACTCGACAGAGAAGAGCTGGATGAAAGTAGGGTGCGTGTCAGGGAGCTTCATCCTCAGGTCTATGCAGTAAGAGGAAGCTCTCAGGAGGTGGCGACTTGTCTCCCAGTGGATCGTCCTCTTCCCGATGACGGCTTGTTCATCGATCAATCAGAGATGTCTTACTCGATGGATTCACGATCCTTTTATCGCAAATCGTTCATCAATTTTAGTAACAATACTTCACGAATCGTGTTGACGAGATTTTTATCGATGATCCAACGATTTTGGTTGCTTAATCCTTCACCGGCGATCTGTAGAAAAGTCATGATAATTAGATAAAAAATATGAGTTTTGGCTTTGGGAGGATTCGAACCCGCGCTGGTTACCCACCCTTTCTAGGGAAGGTGTGACGCGGGTTTAGTCCCACATCGGTTGTGCGCCGAAGTTTTTGGTGAATATATAGTAATATTACATTCTCGATCAAGTCCCTTTCTCCCGTGTGTACGATCATTCCTTGCCCCACAGCCAGCTGGCCACCGGTGACATGGAAGGGGAGTGGCGCACACGTGCCCCTATCAGTCTTAGCCGCTCGAGCCCTTGCTTGCAGCTCCTCCCCGACTGCGCTTCCGACCCACTTGTGGGCCTAGCTGGCTGGCGGGTCCTCCCCATTTTGTTATATTTTTATTTTAATTTATTTTTATTCATTTATCTCAAAAGTAAGACTGTAAAAATCATATAAATTTGTATAAAATCACATAATTACCCAAAAATTCACGTTAATTAACTGAAAACCACTTTTCACACTTTAACATAAATATAAGTCTATTTATCATGAGTTAAGGCTAAAACTATATTATTTACTAATTATTAACTTATGATAATGAAGACTTATTAAGTTTCATAGGCCAAAATAATACCTAAGATGCACTTTCACTAAGAGAAGGTCGTGCATGTGTGTGTTCATTATTTCAAGGGTATAATGTGAACTTTCTTAGCTTTACTGATGTAGCTAGGTAATTGGTAGAGGCTTGAACCTCACTGGTGCCAAAATTTATGTTTACTTCTATTTTGACTCTAGAATTTTTTTAAGGAAATAGTAATAGAGAAAATTGAAAAAAATGACCCATCATTGTTAGAATCTTCATCAACAATAATCAAGAATCATCATTAGCAATTAACCAAGGATTCTAATAGAAAAATGAGAACTTTGGGAGGAAATTGTATTTTCTATTGGTCGATGAATGAGTAATTGTCGATGTTAAAGAGATCTACCAAGAGTTTTTTTATGGTCTCTTTAGAGTGTTCAACTTGTGATAAGAGCTTCCTCTTGAATCATGGACTTAAGGATGAAACTCCTTGAGTCATGTTCCACCTCCATCAATCTCAACTATGTTGGGTGATAGCTATTGAAGAATCATTTATATCAAACATCTCCTTTGTTGAGTGACAATGGTTATAGACACTTCACCACCACTTACTAATAAGTGTTTATTATTATGAGTTAATAATGATTTGAATATTTATTTTTTGATTTAACTCATGATAAATATATAATTATTTACATTAAATAGTGAAAATTGTTTTTTAGTTGATTAATATGAATTTTTGAATTATGTGATTTTATGTGAATTGATATAAATTTTATAATCTATTTTTTGAGATAAAAAAGAAATATAAATTAAATAAAAAAATAATAAAAAGGGGAGAGGCCACTAGCTAGTTGTGACTCAATAGTTGACCTAGAGGGGACTACACATGGTTTGGAGACATAGTTAGGGGAGCCACAAGCTGGGGGCTCTTGTGGCTAAGGACCAACATAGAGCATGTGTGTGCATTCCCCTTCCACAACACTAGGGGCAGTTGGGCGTAGGGCAAGGAGTAGTTGTGCACACAAGTATATATGGGGGCAGACCACTTGGCTTAGGCCTCTCCCCAGATGACTTGGCCATTGTGTTCATGGGAGAGGGAATTCCAAGAGAAAAAAAAGACATACAAATATATATTTGTCTCAAACATTGGGAAACAACCAATGTGGGGCTAAACCCACATCGTCACTCATTGGTGGTATTTAAGTATTTTTAATATAAAAAATGCTCTTACATTATAAGAAGGAAATGCACCCATAAAGTTACTAGGTCAAGGGTATGGAGGTAATTTTCTAACCCTCTCTCACATAGCTAGGTGATTAGTGAAATTAGAATCCCACTAGAGCTAAAATTTATATTTTTATCTATTTAACTTGTGATTTTCTTACGAAGCGTCAGTCAATAATCAAGCCATCGAAATTGCTCAATCATCAATAAAAAATTCGTCAACATGATTTGTGGAGTTTTTTTACCAACTGATGAATGATTATGGATGAAACGATTGTGAATTCATCAAGAAAATCATCTTTGATTGATCAACGAACACACCATTGAAAACATGGTGATTAATTGAGAGATGAGTCATCGTCTATCAAGAGTGAACCAAATGCAATATGAGCCTCCTCTCATAGCATGGACTTGAGGAAGAAGCTCATTGAGACATGCCCCAACTCCACCGAACTCATCTTCACTAGGTGGTAGTTGTCATAGATTCGAATGTCACTGATCTTTGGCTCTATTGGGGTGACAACCACCAGAGACATTTCACTGACCCATCTCATCAGTTTCTAGACTTCACAAGATGATATGAAGATTCTCCGCATTGTGCATGTCCAAGGAAAGGCTTTGAGGCTGTGGACATCACACGAAAATTCTCTTGAATATTCAAAATTTTGACAATCATCACCGCGATGCCAAAATTCTATTTTTTCTATTGTAAACTTAATTATTTTTTAAATTTATGAAATTTTATGTGATTTCAAGTTTAAAACTCTTGTTAGTCAATTACAATTCTTTTGACTTTTATAGATAATAATTTGACCAATTAAATCATTTATAATTATTTATACAAGAATCGTCAAGTGGATTTTTTTGTTTTTGCTCAAATCTCATTCATTAGGATGCTAACATCATCTTGCATCAACACTCGAATTATCTTTTTTTAATAAATTTTTAAATATATTTATTATTTATTATTTATACTAAACTTTATAAATACTATATTATTTATTTATTTTTTAAATTTTACATGATATTATTGTACAAACCCTATAATCAACTTGAAAAATTATTACTATTTTTAAAAGGATTTTTTTGAATTATAATTGATATATTCAAACTAAAATGATATCTTCTAGTGTTATAAATTTATAACTTCAGTCCTTTGTCTTCTAGACTTCGCATGGGAATTTGAAGAATGACTATGCTGTGCACGTTGACATGACTAGTCGTGGCATATTAGGTTACGTAGTTGTGTTAGAACTTACGTTAATTATGTTATTTTATGTGAATTCATATAATTTTTGTAATTATGTTTTTGAGATAAAATGAAGAAAAATAAAATTAATGAAAAAAAAGAAAAAGAGGGGACCCATTAGCTAGTCGAGACCCACATGAGGGTTGGAGGCACAATTAGAGGGACCCACGAGTCAAGGCCTCGAGTGGTTAAGGAGTGATCATGACACATGTGCATCACTCCCCTTCCATGTCACTAGGAGGCTAGCCAAGCATGGGGCAAGGAGTGATTGTATACACATGTATATATGAGACAACACATTGAAGATGAGTAGGTAGAGACATATGTGTCTCAAACATTGAGAAACAATTGATGTGAGACTAAACTTACATTAGTGGTCACCAATAAGTTTTACATTTTTTCACACCTAAAATGTCCTTGCCTTATAAGAAGGAAATGTCTACATAATGTCACTAAGTAAGGGTACATATGTAATTTTTTGACTTTCTCTCAAGCAGGCAAATGACCAGCAAATGTTTAAAACTCATTAGAGCCAAATTTCACATTTTTTTACCTATTTAACTCTTGATTTTTTTGCAGAGTGTTAGTGATGAACTCGAATTGGAGGTTAAATACGTCATCGTGATGCAACTAAGTTCATGCAAATAATATTTATAAGACCTCACTCTTTTATTTAGAATAAGTAAGGGTCGATCCTTAGGTAGTGTGGGTAATGAGAGTACAAATTCTACTTATTTTATTTCTTATATATATATATATATATACATGAGATTGTGAAGGGCAGAATTAAATGTAAAAGGGTAAAGACAAGAGTTATGAAAAGTGTGACAAAGAGGAGAGAATAGATCTAACGTAATGGAATGATAGAATAAATGATAAAACTAGGTCAAATTAAAAGTTAATCTATCCATGGAGAGGATTACAAGGATGCCTCAAATTTAGATCTTGCACAAATCTTGTTGTGCGCTAGTCCTAAGCCGAGTGATGCTCGATCTGTGGCAATCTTGATGTGCTCTAGATGATCTCTTCTCCACGATGATCTTGAGCACAAGAATGTTATTGATCAGACCTTGATTTCCTTCTTGTTTTCTTCAGCTAGTCACTACTAAAGAGAGAGCCAAAAAGTACACTACAAGAGGGGGGCGAGATGTCTTAATCTTCTTGACAATTAGGCCCCTCTAATAGACGGTTAAGATTAATAACACATTATCTTAGTGGATGGCCCAGATCATTCTATGAGGGCGGCACTTTAATCCTTCTCTTAATCTCATCTTAAGATGCCCTAAGATAGACAACCTAGATCTTATCTCTTGATAGCCCTTTTAAGTCCAAATGAGCTATAGGCCAAAGTGATGTCTTCTCTTGGGCCCATAAACATATTAGGCCAGCCTTCTCTATAAGATAGGTTTTTCATTGGGCTGAAGGCTTGGGCTTCTTCTATTACTTATAAATCATATTAAGAACTCACCTAAGTCTTTGCAATCAAATAATTATCAAGCAAATGTGAGAGAATCCATCGATAAAATGTGAGAAAATCACTATTTGACTTCATAAACGTCAAGTGAGATTAGTCTCATAATATAAATAAAATAATTAAAATAATATGTATTAATATTTAAATGATAAAATATTATAAATGTCATAATGAGTTGGTAACACATGTATAATAGTATTATCTACTAATTAATTAATATCTATATATAAGATATTAATGTATAGATGTAATTGCTAATTTATAATTATTAGTCAATCAACGATTAATCCTCTAGAATTGTTCACCCATAGTCAAAAAATACATCAAGACTATTTGTGGATCATTATTAATAACTAACTAAGGATTTTAAATACAAAAATTATAGATTATTTGAGAAAATCATCTCTAATTGATCAACAAATAAATTGTCATCAAGAAGAGGACAATTCATCGAGAGATGAGTTGCTACTTTTCCAAAGTGAATCGAATGTAATACGAGCCTCCTCACATTCATCCAACTCATCTTCATTAGGTGATAGCTACTAGAGATTCGAAAGCCATTGAATGTCTACTCTGCCAAGTGACAACTACTGGAGATGATTCAATGATTAATTTTATCAAATTTTAAACTTTTTAAGAAGATCTAGAAATTGCCTATGTTATGAATGTCCAAAGAGAGTTTTTGAGGTTATAGAGATCACACGATAATTCTCTTGAATGCTCAAAATTTTTATGATTAATGTCACGACCTCAAAGCTCTATCTTTCTTATTTTAAACTTAATTTTTATTTAAGTTAGTGAGATTTTGTGTGATTTTAAAATTTAAAACTCTTATCTAGTCAATTACGATTCTTTTTACTTTTATAGATCTTAATTTGATCTATTAAATCATTTGCAATTATTTACGCAAGAATCATCAAGCGGAACTCTATTTCTACTCGAATCATGTTTGTAGGGGCACTAACATCAACATGACATCTACATCTATATTTATGTTTTCATGGATTTTTAAATATATTTTTTCTTTCATATTTATTTTAAATTTTTAAAAAATTATATTTTTATATTTTTTAAAAAATTACTTGATATTATTTTTCGAGCCTTTTATCAAAATTATTTTGTATTTAAATATTTTTAAAAATATAAATTTACTAGTTTTTAATTGTAGAAATATATGTGTGATTTATTATACAATGATTAAGTCACATCATCCCCCTCTCAATGTTTTGCTTAGCCACATTGAATCCAACAATTTTGGCATTCAATATTTGTATTAACTTGAGTTAGTAGAACCTAAGACAAAGATCTTTGAAAGTATTCTAGACAAGGTGTGCAGAACTAGTATAAATTCTAATTTCATACATTAGATAAAAAACTAAAAGTCAAAGAGAAATTATAAAAGTACTAATTATCCATCTCTCTCTATCTCCTCTAATTTCTCTTGCATTGTTCTTAAAACCAACAAAAGAGTCATGCTTTTGTGAGATTGTATAGGATTAATCAAAAGTTGTGCTTTTGTGCTCTATTTACTTATTTGAAACTTTTTTACAAATGTGGTTTCATGTATGCCAAATTAAATAGCAAGGTTTCACATAAATCACCATGTTAAGAAAAAAATCATTATAAAATTAACTTTTTTTTGAAGTAGTTGCTGTATTATTTAATATATTTTGATTTAACCTAATCATATGATGATAGTCATGAATACATCATGTTCTTCCAAGGCACTCAACATAATATTGCGAAAAGTAATTCATTATTGAATTATAGGAAAATGTATTAACTGAGAAAAAATAAATCATAAAGTAGATTCCCTTTTGGTTATTCTGAATTAAATAAGAGGTACAACATAAAAGCCTTTGTTAATTACATAGTAAATTCACATCATAATAAATGAATATTTTTTCTAAATTCTAAGCAAACAATTTAATTTGTTAGTAGGGATATTTTTTACACCATTTTATAATGGGGGCTGTAAACATTTTCTCCAATGTATTTTAAGAAGGTATTATATTATTTTTTATTAAATTCGTAATATTTTAGTACAATAAATAATTACTAATTGTTTCATCAAAAAGGGTTTCATCTAACCAGAAAAGTGACATGAGGTAAATGGATTAAACGAAAACTTGATTAATAATTTTCCATATGCATATTCTTCATTAGGAAAATTTATGAGTTCTAAATGTGATCAATTAATTTATCACTTTTAACATGATGGATGTGATAGTCAAATTACCATTAAACATATTTTGTACGCAGAATGTGGTCCTTAAAAGTATAAATTGATTGTAATTGTAGCTAAAAAACGTACCTGAAAAAGTTTGTTGGCTTCTAAACACTTGAACTAGATGCTAATTAAGGATTGAGTCATATATATTTTGATTTGTCAAGTCGATTTTTTAGTTAAAAAAAATAAATACAACGTCAGGTTACAGACAACCTACCTCGTGTGCCCTAAAAACTCCTGATCTGGGGAAAAGAGAGCCAACTTTGTAGACCTGATAAACAGCGTTGACCCATTATCTCTCCAAGTCATTAAGCCCATAATATGGTCACAGCCTGACCAGATCCCTTAAGAAAGAGGCCCCACCAAGGCGTCTATGCTTAGTATTTATTCAACAAAAACCTTAGCGACGACGCTCAAAGATATATTCGTCGCCTAGGCACTTGGTCGGGAGCTAAGAAGAAGAGGAAACCGGATTACAAGAACAACATTCAATTGACAAGGGGAAACAAAGTAACTCATTCCTTTTCTGCAAGAAAAGCCGTAATATGAAAGCTAGACATTTTATGACAAGGTAATACAGGATGAAACTGCCCCTCTACACGGGAGATTACCCTAAAACCGTGCACCTGAATCTGCCAAAATGTCGAGCTCGATCCACCTCTCGCTCACGAGCCCCCGACAGCCGCCCACCACCCCTCGTGCTCGACCCACGGCTCGTCGCAGACAGGCGGCTAGCCTCCACGTTGACCATGTCTGCGCGATGCCGGCTAGCCATCGGACCTCCTGGCGAAGGCTTGAGAGATGAATGAAGAATCCTTCGTTCGGATCGGCTCTGAAGCCGGTGGAATCAAGATTATAAGACAATGCTCACCGGCGAGATGTCGGACTGAAGAGCATGCAGTCGAGGCGAAGACCAAGGGTGACGGTGACTGAGGACGAAGATGGAGAAAAGATTTATTGGATATCTCATGAATAAGAGTAAGGTTCCACAGACAGATCCCCCCCGGCCCTCCAGCTGACAAAGTTAATTATTCTGAAAAATTATTCCCCTATTAACGAAAAACCCCCCCCAGCCCTCCGCTCGTCCTATGCTAACACCTTTTCGGAGACTTTGTACTTGGAAAAGCGAGCCTCGATCTCGTTCCAGGAGTCGAGGTCGATCATCTGGTTGAACTCCTCGAAGGTGGCCAACTTGTGAAGCGCTTCCCGGGTGGTGCCGGCCTCCTTGAGGATCCTCAGCACCTCGGTCATTCCCCGGGTGGCGGCGTAGAGGGTGGTCAGGCAGTGCTCGACGATGTGGAAGCCCATGGCCTGGAGTTCCTGCGGGGTGCGGAGGGGCGTGATTCCCCCCTCGATCATGTTGCTGACCCTGAGGCCCTTGGTGCGCCGCCCAATCTCCCTCAGCTCCTCCTCGTTCCTCGGCGCCTCCACGAAGCAGGCGTCCGCCCCCGCGTCGTGGTACAGGTTAGCCCGATCGATGGCGTCGTCCAGCCCGTTCGGTCCGCGGGCGTCCGTCCGGGCAATGAGGAAGAAGTCCGCGTCTCCGATAGCGTCCCTCGCCGCCGCGATCTTGGCCGCGTGCTCCTCGGCAGGGATCACCTTCACGCCACGACCATCACCGCGTCATGAATATGTAAGGAAATTTCGCAGGAAGTTCTTAGCGGACCAGCGAGGAGGCAGGGGTGGAGAGAATGAAGAGATGATTACCGACTTGCCGCGCATGTGCCCTAGTGGGAAGAAAAGACGAGCCAGAAAAACAGGAGGAGAATATGAGCGTCTCTTGGCTTGAAACTAAGAAAGTAGATAACAAAATAAGACATTTAAAACCATACCACACTTCTTTGGCCAGGCCTGGTCCTGTTAGCGAGAGAGAGATGATGGTTCAGTAACGTCGTAAAGAAAGAATAAGAGGAAGGAAGGACGAGGTATTGAGTTCTCAGGTACCTCGAGGAAGCATCCCGCGACGCCGGCGGCGATGAGATCCTTGACGGTCCTCTGAACATTAAGAGCGTTGCCGCCGCCGGTGTCTGAAACTCGGCGCCAAAGCTCCTTAGATCAGTATTTTTTTTTCTTAAAAATCATTGCGAAGTGTTGAATTATCATTTAGTTTTTTGCAACCCAGCCCGTTGTAACACTGATAATTTAGAAGTACAGTTCATGATTTCATGCAAAATAGATATGGTCGGAAAGGCGTTGTAATAAGCTAGATTTAATTTCGTGGATTATAATGGCTGAGGTAGGATGGTGGATTAATTATCTATAATGGAGGCATAGGGTAAAGTGATGGATTTGCGAGGCTAATTCGAACGCCGATGTTCCTTCATCGAAGGTTACGACCATCCTAATGTAGCCGTTTGGCCGGAAGCTTTTGATCTGACCCATGCTTAGTAACGTTATCCAAAAACTGCGTCCTTCATGCCGGGGTTTGGGTGAACGGGGAGGAGATCATACCGGCGTCGGCGATGATTGGGATACCGGGGGCGGCGGCGCAGATGAACCTAGCGCTCTCCGCCATCTCCGGCGGCCTGGGCATTGCGTGAAACGAAGATAGTTAGAAATCTTCCTCAGAAAAGAGATCGCTTGTGTTCATGGGGTTTCGGGATCGGAACGCACGTGAGAAGGCCGATATCGGGCAAGCCGAGGCTGGCGGCGGAGAGGGCGTAGCCGGAGATAAAGGCGGCGCTGAAGCCTGTCTTCTGAATAATGGCCGCCGACAGCGCGTCGAAGCACCCGGGCATCAGCACGATCCCGTCCTTCTCGATTGCCTTGTGGAACCGCGTCCTCCCGCTACCCGCCTCCGCCTTCACCGCCCCTCTGCGGAATGTCGCCGGCGGCAGGCTCCCCCTCCGGCACCCCTGCAGGCGCCTCCCGGCGGCGGCTCCGGCCGCGCAGGGGTTCACTGTCAGCATCGCCATGGAGGTCGCCATCTTCCTGTTCGGGTGCCGAAGGGGAACGAGGGGAGCGAGAGTGCAGTTGCGGAGAAGTGGCGACAGATGAAGGAAGCATATTTCCACCTTGTTTTATATAAGCGGGTCGACAGATCACGTTGGTATCCGCCTAACTCGCACGAGCTGGAAAATGACTCATACCGGTAACTTCGCCGAACTGTGGGCGGCCGCAGCTATAGTGTCTCCTATGAGGCAGGCCCGGTGTGGGCCACAGGTAGCAGTCTGACAGCCAGTTATAACTGGAATCTGCCGGGCGATCCGAGTTTGTCCGAGGTGACCCAGCCCATCCGAGTTTGATAAGCTCCGATGGCTACAGGAGTTGCATGCGGTACTGTTAGAGGGATAAACTCGGGTAAATGGTGGAAAACCGAAGAGGCCCCTTTGTCGTATGGTACAGTTTTCAAAAAAATAAATTATGCATGAGGTTTTATCTTTTCCACTTTACACTTAGTAAGTTGCATAGTGATATGTTGTAGATACCAAAGTTGAGAATGGTTGGTAATGGTCTATACTTAACTACATACAAGAGAGATTAACTTTCTATCTCTCTTTGTCTATCTGTTTTCCACTCTGCTTTTATGTGTGTGCAGTGATGCCTATTATGTTGAATGGTTGAGAAATGTAAAGTTTTCTTTGAGGATTAAGCCACCACAAGGCCTATGGTACGAAGAGATTTACACTGGTTGTTCCTATTATGCCTTTGATATGAAAGAGGACTATTTTTTTGCAATGATGGTGATAAAAAAACTATGCATGAATGAGCATACTTGTAGGACTCTCTTCTTTATTTCCCTTTCAATATTAACTTGTTACTAATATGCATTGACTTTAGAATTGATATTTTTTTGTGTTAACAAGATGGACGTATGTCTAAGATGATAGTTTATGTAATCATAATGTTAATATTGTATTGCATAAATATTCATTACCAATAATTATGAATGTAAAAAAAAATTAAACTACTTGAAACATTGTAGTTCTATTTATTTATACTTTAACAAAATGATTCAACTAAGAAAGTAAACCTACTTCACATGAAACAGAGAAAAGACCAATCAATTGCAAGTCATAATATAGGAATAGATGAAAATGGGGCATAGTTGACCATGCAGTCTTGCGTTGTCCCTCATTTGATGTACACTGTCTCATGCAGTCCAACATTATTCTGTGCCATTTCACATCGTCTTTATTTAGTTATAGATTAACTCATTATTATTTTGATGATTTTTATACATTAATATGAAATTATGAAATTGATAATATGTGATGTAAATTTAATTAGAAGTGAATGTATTAAATGACATTAAAGAGTATATATTATTTCAGCAAAGAACTAATGTCAAGATCATATGAAATATCTCATTATATTTCAATTTTTATGTCAAGTGAATATGTTATAATTATTTGTGTAAATCTTAATATTTGTATTTTTATATCAAATGGCTTCATTAATAAAGGCATATTTATAACAAATAAAAAGACATGAATGGAGAGTCAAATGAAAGAAAATTATGAGAAATTGATTAAAGTATTAATTTTATAAGATTAGTGATTTAATATATTTGTGCACAAGAAAAATAGTCTAAAGGTTTGACCCTTCTTAGTAAAATAATTTTATCTTAGAAAATGTGTCACATATAGGTATGATGGTTAATAAGTCTCTATTATCATGAGTTAATAGTTAGTTTAATGATATTTTTTATGTATTAACTCATGATAAATAGCCTTATATTTACTTTAAATCGAGAAAAATAATTTTTACATGACTAATGTGAATTTATTGTTAATTATGTGATTTTTATATTCATATTTTCACATTTAAATAAAAATTAAAAAAATTAAAAAAGGGAGAACCTATTGACTAGCAAGCACTCGGTAGTCAACCCAAACGGTGTTGCCCTCGAGTGAGTGGACCTAGATTGGGTAAAACTATGAGTTGAGCTCTAGTGGCTAAGGACCCATGGATACATGTGCATCACTCTTTCAGATCATTAGGGCTAAATCAGTGCGAGGGGTAACATATGATCTCGTCACATGTGTGTTGTGTGGAGGCAGACCACTTGGTATAGTCTTCATCACAAGTGGTCCTCTACTCATTTTATTTATGAGAGAAGGAACTTGTATCCAGAAGATCTAAAACTCCTCAAAATAATTAGTAGGACTAAATCACTATCAAGTCTTGACATGACTTAGTCGTTGTATATTAAATCATGTAAATTTAAAATTTATAAAACTAGAAAATACGGATTTTTAGATATTTAGAAGTATTTATGAACAAATATATCAATTATAATTCAATAAAACTTCCAAAAATAGTGATAATTTTTCAGGTCAATAATAAGGATGTAATATAATATCTTGTAATTATTCAGAAATTTCCTCAAAGAATACTATTTTCTATGAATTTTATACTAGGAAATGAAAAGAAAATATATTTAAAATTCACGAAAAAGGAAAATAAGGGTGCAGACATCACGATGATGTCAGCGCCCGGCGAACACGAATCGAGCGAAAATAGAGTTCCGCCCGGTGATTTTTATGTAAGTGATTATAGATAATTTAATTGATCAAATTAAGATCAGTAAAATCTGAAAGAATTGTAATTGAATGAAGTATATCTTGGTAAATTTAAATCACACAAATTATCACTAAATGAAGTGGAAAGTAAGTTAAAAGCAGGAAAACAAAGTTCTGGCGTCGCAACGGCGATGCGTTAGTATTGCACCAGAATCCTGAGCATTCGAGAGGATCGTTGTGTAGTGTCGACGGCCTCAAAGGCTCTCCTTGAACAAAGACGACGTGCACAATCTCTAGATCTCCTTGCGAAGTCTAGAGATCAATGAAATGGGTTGTCGAATCGTCTATGGCGGCTGTCACTCGACAGAGAAGAGCTGGATGAAAGTAGGGTGCGTGTCAGGGAGCTTCATCCTCAGGTCTATGCAGTAAGAGGAAGCTCTCAGGAGGTGGCGACTTGTCTCCCAGTGGATCGTCCTCTTCCCGATGACGGCTTGTTCATCGATCAATCAGAGATGTCTTACTCGATGGATTCACGATCCTTTTATCGCAAATCGTTCATCAATTTTAGTAACAATACTTCACGAATCGTGTTGACGAGATTTTTATCGATGATCCAACGATTTTGGTTGCTTAATCCTTCACCGGCGATCTGTAGAAAAGTCATGATAATTAGATAAAAAATATGAGTTTTGGCTTTGGGAGGATTCGAACCCGCGCTGGTTACCCACCCTTTCTAGGGAAGGTGTGACGCGGGTTTAGTCCCACATCGGTTGTGCGCCGAAGTTTTTGGTGAATATATAGTAATATTACATTCTCGATCAAGTCCCTTTCTCCCGTGTGTACGATCATTCCTTGCCCCACAGCCAGCTGGCCACCGGTGACATGGAAGGGGAGTGGCGCACACGTGCCCCTATCAGTCTTAGCCGCTCGAGCCCTTGCTTGCAGCTCCTCCCCGACTGCGCTTCCGACCCACTTGTGGGCCTAGCTGGCTGGCGGGTCCTCCCCATTTTGTTATATTTTTATTTTAATTTATTTTTATTCATTTATCTCAAAAGTAAGACTGTAAAAATCATATAAATTTGTATAAAATCACATAATTACCCAAAAATTCACGTTAATTAACTGAAAACCACTTTTCACACTTTAACATAAATATAAGTCTATTTATCATGAGTTAAGGCTAAAACTATATTATTTACTAATTATTAACTTATGATAATGAAGACTTATTAAGTTTCATAGGCCAAAATAATACCTAAGATGCACTTTCACTAAGAGAAGGTCGTGCATGTGTGTGTTCATTATTTCAAGGGTATAATGTGAACTTTCTTAGCTTTACTGATGTAGCTAGGTAATTGGTAGAGGCTTGAACCTCACTGGTGCCAAAATTTATGTTTACTTCTATTTTGACTCTAGAATTTTTTTAAGGAAATAGTAATAGAGAAAATTGAAAAAAATGACCCATCATTGTTAGAATCTTCATCAACAATAATCAAGAATCATCATTAGCAATTAACCAAGGATTCTAATAGAAAAATGAGAACTTTGGGAGGAAATTGTATTTTCTATTGGTCGATGAATGAGTAATTGTCGATGTTAAAGAGATCTACCAAGAGTTTTTTTATGGTCTCTTTAGAGTGTTCAACTTGTGATAAGAGCTTCCTCTTGAATCATGGACTTAAGGATGAAACTCCTTGAGTCATGTTCCACCTCCATCAATCTCAACTATGTTGGGTGATAGCTATTGAAGAATCATTTATATCAAACATCTCCTTTGTTGAGTGACAATGGTTATAGACACTTCACCACCACTTACTAATAAGTGTTTATTATTATGAGTTAATAATGATTTGAATATTTATTTTTTGATTTAACTCATGATAAATATATAATTATTTACATTAAATAGTGAAAATTGTTTTTTAGTTGATTAATATGAATTTTTGAATTATGTGATTTTATGTGAATTGATATAAATTTTATAATCTATTTTTTGAGATAAAAAAGAAATATAAATTAAATAAAAAAATAATAAAAAGGGGAGAGGCCACTAGCTAGTTGTGACTCAATAGTTGACCTAGAGGGGACTACACATGGTTTGGAGACATAGTTAGGGGAGCCACAAGCTGGGGGCTCTTGTGGCTAAGGACCAACATAGAGCATGTGTGTGCATTCCCCTTCCACAACACTAGGGGCAGTTGGGCGTAGGGCAAGGAGTAGTTGTGCACACAAGTATATATGGGGGCAGACCACTTGGCTTAGGCCTCTCCCCAGATGACTTGGCCATTGTGTTCATGGGAGAGGGAATTCCAAGAGAAAAAAAAGACATACAAATATATATTTGTCTCAAACATTGGGAAACAACCAATGTGGGGCTAAACCCACATCGTCACTCATTGGTGGTATTTAAGTATTTTTAATATAAAAAATGCTCTTACATTATAAGAAGGAAATGCACCCATAAAGTTACTAGGTCAAGGGTATGGAGGTAATTTTCTAACCCTCTCTCACATAGCTAGGTGATTAGTGAAATTAGAATCCCACTAGAGCTAAAATTTATATTTTTATCTATTTAACTTGTGATTTTCTTACGAAGCGTCAGTCAATAATCAAGCCATCGAAATTGCTCAATCATCAATAAAAAATTCGTCAACATGATTTGTGGAGTTTTTTTACCAACTGATGAATGATTATGGATGAAACGATTGTGAATTCATCAAGAAAATCATCTTTGATTGATCAACGAACACACCATTGAAAACATGGTGATTAATTGAGAGATGAGTCATCGTCTATCAAGAGTGAACCAAATGCAATATGAGCCTCCTCTCATAGCATGGACTTGAGGAAGAAGCTCATTGAGACATGCCCCAACTCCACCGAACTCATCTTCACTAGGTGGTAGTTGTCATAGATTCGAATGTCACTGATCTTTGGCTCTATTGGGGTGACAACCACCAGAGACATTTCACTGACCCATCTCATCAGTTTCTAGACTTCACAAGATGATATGAAGATTCTCCGCATTGTGCATGTCCAAGGAAAGGCTTTGAGGCTGTGGACATCACACGAAAATTCTCTTGAATATTCAAAATTTTGACAATCATCACCGCGATGCCAAAATTCTATTTTTTCTATTGTAAACTTAATTATTTTTTAAATTTATGAAATTTTATGTGATTTCAAGTTTAAAACTCTTGTTAGTCAATTACAATTCTTTTGACTTTTATAGATAATAATTTGACCAATTAAATCATTTATAATTATTTATACAAGAATCGTCAAGTGGATTTTTTTGTTTTTGCTCAAATCTCATTCATTAGGATGCTAACATCATCTTGCATCAACACTCGAATTATCTTTTTTTAATAAATTTTTAAATATATTTATTATTTATTATTTATACTAAACTTTATAAATACTATATTATTTATTTATTTTTTAAATTTTACATGATATTATTGTACAAACCCTATAATCAACTTGAAAAATTATTACTATTTTTAAAAGGATTTTTTTGAATTATAATTGATATATTCAAACTAAAATGATATCTTCTAGTGTTATAAATTTATAACTTCAGTCCTTTGTCTTCTAGACTTCGCATGGGAATTTGAAGAATGACTATGCTGTGCACGTTGACATGACTAGTCGTGGCATATTAGGTTACGTAGTTGTGTTAGAACTTACGTTAATTATGTTATTTTATGTGAATTCATATAATTTTTGTAATTATGTTTTTGAGATAAAATGAAGAAAAATAAAATTAATGAAAAAAAAGAAAAAGAGGGGACCCATTAGCTAGTCGAGACCCACATGAGGGTTGGAGGCACAATTAGAGGGACCCACGAGTCAAGGCCTCGAGTGGTTAAGGAGTGATCATGACACATGTGCATCACTCCCCTTCCATGTCACTAGGAGGCTAGCCAAGCATGGGGCAAGGAGTGATTGTATACACATGTATATATGAGACAACACATTGAAGATGAGTAGGTAGAGACATATGTGTCTCAAACATTGAGAAACAATTGATGTGAGACTAAACTTACATTAGTGGTCACCAATAAGTTTTACATTTTTTCACACCTAAAATGTCCTTGCCTTATAAGAAGGAAATGTCTACATAATGTCACTAAGTAAGGGTACATATGTAATTTTTTGACTTTCTCTCAAGCAGGCAAATGACCAGCAAATGTTTAAAACTCATTAGAGCCAAATTTCACATTTTTTTACCTATTTAACTCTTGATTTTTTTGCAGAGTGTTAGTGATGAACTCGAATTGGAGGTTAAATACGTCATCGTGATGCAACTAAGTTCATGCAAATAATATTTATAAGACCTCACTCTTTTATTTAGAATAAGTAAGGGTCGATCCTTAGGTAGTGTGGGTAATGAGAGTACAAATTCTACTTATTTTATTTCTTATATATATATATATATATACATGAGATTGTGAAGGGCAGAATTAAATGTAAAAGGGTAAAGACAAGAGTTATGAAAAGTGTGACAAAGAGGAGAGAATAGATCTAACGTAATGGAATGATAGAATAAATGATAAAACTAGGTCAAATTAAAAGTTAATCTATCCATGGAGAGGATTACAAGGATGCCTCAAATTTAGATCTTGCACAAATCTTGTTGTGCGCTAGTCCTAAGCCGAGTGATGCTCGATCTGTGGCAATCTTGATGTGCTCTAGATGATCTCTTCTCCACGATGATCTTGAGCACAAGAATGTTATTGATCAGACCTTGATTTCCTTCTTGTTTTCTTCAGCTAGTCACTACTAAAGAGAGAGCCAAAAAGTACACTACAAGAGGGGGGCGAGATGTCTTAATCTTCTTGACAATTAGGCCCCTCTAATAGACGGTTAAGATTAATAACACATTATCTTAGTGGATGGCCCAGATCATTCTATGAGGGCGGCACTTTAATCCTTCTCTTAATCTCATCTTAAGATGCCCTAAGATAGACAACCTAGATCTTATCTCTTGATAGCCCTTTTAAGTCCAAATGAGCTATAGGCCAAAGTGATGTCTTCTCTTGGGCCCATAAACATATTAGGCCAGCCTTCTCTATAAGATAGGTTTTTCATTGGGCTGAAGGCTTGGGCTTCTTCTATTACTTATAAATCATATTAAGAACTCACCTAAGTCTTTGCAATCAAATAATTATCAAGCAAATGTGAGAGAATCCATCGATAAAATGTGAGAAAATCACTATTTGACTTCATAAACGTCAAGTGAGATTAGTCTCATAATATAAATAAAATAATTAAAATAATATGTATTAATATTTAAATGATAAAATATTATAAATGTCATAATGAGTTGGTAACACATGTATAATAGTATTATCTACTAATTAATTAATATCTATATATAAGATATTAATGTATAGATGTAATTGCTAATTTATAATTATTAGTCAATCAACGATTAATCCTCTAGAATTGTTCACCCATAGTCAAAAAATACATCAAGACTATTTGTGGATCATTATTAATAACTAACTAAGGATTTTAAATACAAAAATTATAGATTATTTGAGAAAATCATCTCTAATTGATCAACAAATAAATTGTCATCAAGAAGAGGACAATTCATCGAGAGATGAGTTGCTACTTTTCCAAAGTGAATCGAATGTAATACGAGCCTCCTCACATTCATCCAACTCATCTTCATTAGGTGATAGCTACTAGAGATTCGAAAGCCATTGAATGTCTACTCTGCCAAGTGACAACTACTGGAGATGATTCAATGATTAATTTTATCAAATTTTAAACTTTTTAAGAAGATCTAGAAATTGCCTATGTTATGAATGTCCAAAGAGAGTTTTTGAGGTTATAGAGATCACACGATAATTCTCTTGAATGCTCAAAATTTTTATGATTAATGTCACGACCTCAAAGCTCTATCTTTCTTATTTTAAACTTAATTTTTATTTAAGTTAGTGAGATTTTGTGTGATTTTAAAATTTAAAACTCTTATCTAGTCAATTACGATTCTTTTTACTTTTATAGATCTTAATTTGATCTATTAAATCATTTGCAATTATTTACGCAAGAATCATCAAGCGGAACTCTATTTCTACTCGAATCATGTTTGTAGGGGCACTAACATCAACATGACATCTACATCTATATTTATGTTTTCATGGATTTTTAAATATATTTTTTCTTTCATATTTATTTTAAATTTTTAAAAAATTATATTTTTATATTTTTTAAAAAATTACTTGATATTATTTTTCGAGCCTTTTATCAAAATTATTTTGTATTTAAATATTTTTAAAAATATAAATTTACTAGTTTTTAATTGTAGAAATATATGTGTGATTTATTATACAATGATTAAGTCACATCATCCCCCTCTCAATGTTTTGCTTAGCCACATTGAATCCAACAATTTTGGCATTCAATATTTGTATTAACTTGAGTTAGTAGAACCTAAGACAAAGATCTTTGAAAGTATTCTAGACAAGGTGTGCAGAACTAGTATAAATTCTAATTTCATACATTAGATAAAAAACTAAAAGTCAAAGAGAAATTATAAAAGTACTAATTATCCATCTCTCTCTATCTCCTCTAATTTCTCTTGCATTGTTCTTAAAACCAACAAAAGAGTCATGCTTTTGTGAGATTGTATAGGATTAATCAAAAGTTGTGCTTTTGTGCTCTATTTACTTATTTGAAACTTTTTTACAAATGTGGTTTCATGTATGCCAAATTAAATAGCAAGGTTTCACATAAATCACCATGTTAAGAAAAAAATCATTATAAAATTAACTTTTTTTTGAAGTAGTTGCTGTATTATTTAATATATTTTGATTTAACCTAATCATATGATGATAGTCATGAATACATCATGTTCTTCCAAGGCACTCAACATAATATTGCGAAAAGTAATTCATTATTGAATTATAGGAAAATGTATTAACTGAGAAAAAATAAATCATAAAGTAGATTCCCTTTTGGTTATTCTGAATTAAATAAGAGGTACAACATAAAAGCCTTTGTTAATTACATAGTAAATTCACATCATAATAAATGAATATTTTTTCTAAATTCTAAGCAAACAATTTAATTTGTTAGTAGGGATATTTTTTACACCATTTTATAATGGGGGCTGTAAACATTTTCTCCAATGTATTTTAAGAAGGTATTATATTATTTTTTATTAAATTCGTAATATTTTAGTACAATAAATAATTACTAATTGTTTCATCAAAAAGGGTTTCATCTAACCAGAAAAGTGACATGAGGTAAATGGATTAAACGAAAACTTGATTAATAATTTTCCATATGCATATTCTTCATTAGGAAAATTTATGAGTTCTAAATGTGATCAATTAATTTATCACTTTTAACATGATGGATGTGATAGTCAAATTACCATTAAACATATTTTGTACGCAGAATGTGGTCCTTAAAAGTATAAATTGATTGTAATTGTAGCTAAAAAACGTACCTGAAAAAGTTTGTTGGCTTCTAAACACTTGAACTAGATGCTAATTAAGGATTGAGTCATATATATTTTGATTTGTCAAGTCGATTTTTTAGTTAAAAAAAATAAATACAACGTCAGGTTACAGACAACCTACCTCGTGTGCCCTAAAAACTCCTGATCTGGGGAAAAGAGAGCCAACTTTGTAGACCTGATAAACAGCGTTGACCCATTATCTCTCCAAGTCATTAAGCCCATAATATGGTCACAGCCTGACCAGATCCCTTAAGAAAGAGGCCCCACCAAGGCGTCTATGCTTAGTATTTATTCAACAAAAACCTTAGCGACGACGCTCAAAGATATATTCGTCGCCTAGGCACTTGGTCGGGAGCTAAGAAGAAGAGGAAACCGGATTACAAGAACAACATTCAATTGACAAGGGGAAACAAAGTAACTCATTCCTTTTCTGCAAGAAAAGCCGTAATATGAAAGCTAGACATTTTATGACAAGGTAATACAGGATGAAACTGCCCCTCTACACGGGAGATTACCCTAAAACCGTGCACCTGAATCTGCCAAAATGTCGAGCTCGATCCACCTCTCGCTCACGAGCCCCCGACAGCCGCCCACCACCCCTCGTGCTCGACCCACGGCTCGTCGCAGACAGGCGGCTAGCCTCCACGTTGACCATGTCTGCGCGATGCCGGCTAGCCACCGGACCTCCTGGCGAAGGCTTGAGAGATGAATGAAGAATCCTTCGTTCGGATCGGCTCTGAAGCCGGTGGAATCAAGATTATAAGACAATGCTCACCGGCGAGATGTCGGACTGAAGAGCATGCAGTCGAGGCGAAGACCAAGGGTGACGGTGACTGAGGACGAAGATGGAGAAAAGATTTATTGGATATCTCATGAATAAGAGTAAGGTTCCACAGACAGATCCCCCCCGGCCCTCCAGCTGACAAAGTTAATTATTCTGAAAAATTATTCCCCTATTAACGAAAAACCCCCCCCAGCCCTCCGCTCGTCCTATGCTAACACCTTTTCGGAGACTTTGTACTTGGAAAAGCGAGCCTCGATCTCGTTCCAGGAGTCGAGGTCGATCATCTGGTTGAACTCCTCGAAGGTGGCCAACTTGTGAAGCGCTTCCCGGGTGGTGCCGGCCTCCTTGAGGATCCTCAGCACCTCGGTCATTCCCCGGGTGGCGGCGTAGAGGGTGGTCAGGCAGTGCTCGACGATGTGGAAGCCCATGGCCTGGAGTTCCTGCGGGGTGCGGAGGGGCGTGATTCCCCCCTCGATCATGTTGCTGACCCTGAGGCCCTTGGTGCGCCGCCCAATCTCCCTCAGCTCCTCCTCGTTCCTCGGCGCCTCCACGAAGCAGGCGTCCGCCCCCGCGTCGTGGTACAGGTTAGCCCGATCGATGGCGTCGTCCAGCCCGTTCGGTCCGCGGGCGTCCGTCCGGGCAATGAGGAAGAAGTCCGCGTCTCCGATAGCGTCCCTCGCCGCCGCGATCTTGGCCGCGTGCTCCTCGGCAGGGATCACCTTCACGCCACGACCATCACCGCGTCATGAATATGTAAGGAAATTTCGCAGGAAGTTCTTAGCGGACCAGCGAGGAGGCAGGGGTGGAGAGAATGAAGAGATGATTACCGACTTGCCGCGCATGTGCCCTAGTGGGAAGAAAAGACGAGCCAGAAAAACAGGAGGAGAATATGAGCGTCTCTTGGCTTGAAACTAAGAAAGTAGATAACAAAATAAGACATTTAAAACCATACCACACTTCTTTGGCCAGGCCTGGTCCTGTTAGCGAGAGAGAGATGATGGTTCAGTAACGTCGTAAAGAAAGAATAAGAGGAAGGAAGGACGAGGTATTGAGTTCTCAGGTACCTCGAGGAAGCATCCCGCGACGCCGGCGGCGATGAGATCCTTGACGGTCCTCTGAACATTAAGAGCGTTGCCGCCGCCGGTGTCTGAAACTCGGCGCCAAAGCTCCTTAGATCAGTATTTTTTTTTCTTAAAAATCATTGCGAAGTGTTGAATTATCATTTAGTTTTTTGCAACCCAGCCCGTTGTAACACTGATAATTTAGAAGTACAGTTCATGATTTCATGCAAAATAGATATGGTCGGAAAGGCGTTGTAATAAGCTAGATTTAATTTCGTGGATTATAATGGCTGAGGTAGGATGGTGGATTAATTATCTATAATGGAGGCATAGGGTAAAGTGATGGATTTGCGAGGCTAATTCGAACGCCGATGTTCCTTCATCGAAGGTTACGACCATCCTAATGTAGCCGTTTGGCCGGAAGCTTTTGATCTGACCCATGCTTAGTAACGTTATCCAAAAACTGCGTCCTTCATGCCGGGGTTTGGGTGAACGGGGAGGAGATCATACCGGCGTCGGCGATGATTGGGATGCCGGGGGCGGCGGCGCAGATGAACCTAGCGCTCTCCGCCATCTCCGGCGGCCTGGGCATTGCGTGAAACGAAGATAGTTAGAAATCTTCCTCAGAAAAGAGATCGCTTGTGTTCATGGGGTTTCGGGATCGGAACGCACGTGAGAAGGCCGATATCGGGCAAGCCGAGGCTGGCGGCGGAGAGGGCGTAGCCGGAGATAAAGGCGGCGCTGAAGCCTGTCTTCTGAATAATGGCCGCCGACAGCGCGTCGAAGCACCCGGGCATCAGCACGATCCCGTCCTTCTCGATTGCCTTGTGGAACCGCGTCCTCCCGCTACCCGCCTCCGCCTTCACCGCCCCTCTGCGGAATGTCGCCGGCGGCAGGCTCCCCCTCCGGCACCCCTGCAGGCGCCTCCCGGCGGCGGCTCCGGCCGCGCAGGGGTTCACTGTCAGCATCGCCATGGAGGTCGCCATCTTCCTGTTCGGGTGCCGAAGGGGAACGAGGGGAGCGAGAGTGCAGTTGCGGAGAAGTGGCGGGGAAGGTCGCTTCGACGGTCTGGTGAGTTCCGCCAGCTTTCACGCGTATTTATAGCAAACGCTGGGGGGAATGGAATTTTCATGGAAAGCCTCCGATTCTGTAGGTACCATGATTGCCTGTACATGAAGCTTCAGCGCGGGCGCGCCCGGAAATTATCCTGCATCTAACCATCCTGATTAGGCGCGCGTCGAAATATGTACTGACTGTGTACGGCCAAAAGGCTGCGATCTCTTCAAGGATGCTTCCTCTCCGATCCCGACCTATGATTGAACGGCTAAGGTTGCACCAGTTGGCACTGCTACTGGCTTGTAAAATAAATAATAAATATACTTGAAAAAGTTAGACCCATGTAGTTATACTTTGATAGTAAGTATTTTGCAGTTGCTCATTCTTTGGGACTGCCTATTCATTAGGTAATCATTAAGAATATCTTCATTTATTTTCCTTCTGTTGCTCTACATTTGATATCACAATTTGTAGATAATTTGAGGTATCGTAATCTGAATCTGCTTTCTTTTGGATTGATAATTATATCATTCAACTTGTGCTGGTGAGACTAGATAGGACTCCGCCAAGTTTAGCATGCAATGTTACACTATCAATATTGTGTGCACCTCTGAACTCTCACCCATGTGCGGCCTTAGTTGCCTCCTTGACGCCAAGAATACTCTATTTATGTGAGAATTTTATGGAAGCAAACAAACTAAAGGGGAAGAGTACTCTCTTTATAGTAATAGGATATGCAGATCCGAGGAGGGAACAGTCTATATGTCACTCACTCTATGTTACAATAGTTGAATAACCCCCTAATTTAAAAGACAAAGTGGGGCCCTAATGTCGTTTGGGTGAGAGTATGCCCAATTGGCATTTCGTGCCTCTGTCTATGGGATATGTGCCACACTACATGTCGTGCACTTGTATTTCTAGGTAATGCCATCATTGTGCCACCTCATGCTAACTCTTGCTAATAAAAGTGATCTTCATGGGAGAGCAGCATGATCCCTACTCAGTGTCAGTAAGATAATGTGCTAGTGTTGCATGCATCTATATGTTACTCTCACTTGTGCATGGCATGCTAATTTTGTAAAATTTGTTTATACTTCAAAATGGTTATTAATTTTGGTCAGCTCTAGGTTCAGTTCACTCTTGATCGCTTACTTAAGTACATTAAAGGCACACTAGCACCTCTTTGACCACTCTCATCACACACTTTTCCTCACCAGATATGTCAACAGATTCTCTTGTTGAGAGTAACATCACATAAAATTTTGCTAGTAGAATTGCACACTTTTTACTAATCAGTTTTGAGGGCACAAACCTTCTCTTAGTCTATCTGCACACCATCACACCTTGCAGCATAGCGTAATAAAACATTTTCCATCATAAATTGACACTTTACAATGTTGAGGTATCACTTCTTCTCCCTCAACTTGAGTAGCATCTTCCAAGCTCTTATTATAGAAAAGAACATTGTTCATGTAAATGATGAAAAGTTATCAATGTCCTCTTGTCAAAAAATCATATTCATGAGGGTACCTAAGATTGTTGGAGTATTAGTTAGCTTAAACAAAAACAATGTGAACTCATATGCGCCATAATACATCACGCATGATGATACCTATTTTTCAACTCTATGTGATAAAGTACATGACACTAAGTTGGCTAAATAACCTTATTATATTGAGTACTAGATACTTGATAAGTCTTCATTATCATGAGTTAATAATTAGTAAATAATATAGTTTTAGCCTTAACTCGTGATAAATAGACTTATATTTGTGTTAAAGTGTAAAAAGTGGTTTTCAGTTGATTAACGTGAATTTTTGGGTAATTATGTGATTTTATACGAATTTATATGATTTTTACAGTCTTACTTCTGAGATAAATGAAGAAAAAAAAATAAAAATAAAACAAAATGGGGGGAACCCGTCGGCCAGCCGGGCTTGCAAGCGGGTCAGAAGCACAGTCGGGGAGTAGCCACGAGCAGGGGCTCGAGCGGCTTGGACCAATAGGGGCACGTGTGCGCCACTCCCCTTCCACGTCACCAGTGGCCAGCCGGTTATGAGGCAAAGAGTGGTCGTACATGCTAGAGAAAGGGACTTGCCTTCCAATGTAACATTACTATATATTCGCCCAAAAATTTGACGCACAAGCGATGTGGGACTAAACTTACGTCACCTTCTCCAGAAAAGGCGGCCAACTGGCACGGGTTCGAATCCTCCTAGAGCCAAAACTCATATTTTTTATCTGATTATCGTGACTTTCCTGTAGATTGCCGATGAAGGATTAAACAACCAGAATTGCTAGATCATCGGCGAAAATCTCATCAACGTGATTTGCGGAGCATTGTTACTAAAATTGTTGAATGATTCGCGATAAAAGGATCGCGAATCCATCGAGTAAAGCATCTCCGATTGATCGACGAACAAGCTGTCGTCGGGAAGAGGACGATCCGTCGGGAGACGAGTCACCACCTCCTGAGAGTATACTAGATGGGATGAAGAGCCTCCTCTTGCTGTGTGGACCTAAGGATGAAGCTACTTGACACGCGTCCCACCTCCATCCAGCTCCTCTCCGTCAGGTGACAGCTGCCAGAGATCCGCAAAGTTGCCGTTTTTCTGCTCCACCGGGTGACAGCCGCCGAAGAGTTGCAAAGTCGCCATTTTTCCACTCTGCCGGGTGACAGCCGCCGGAGATGATTTGACGACCTATTTCATAAATCTCTAGACTTCGCAAGGAGATCTAGAGATTACCCACGTCGTCTTTGTCCAAAGAGAGCCTTCAAGGCCATGGACACTACATGACGATCCTCTCGAATGTTCAGGATTCCGGTGCATCATCGACGCATTGCCGCCGTGACGCCGGAACTCTGTTTTCCTACTTTTAACTTAATTTCTGTTTCATTTAGTGTTAATTTTTTGATTTTAAATTTATCAAGATATATTTCATTGCATTACGATTCTTTCAGCTTTTATAGATCTTAATTTGATCAATTAAATTGTCTATAATCGCTTACGTAAGAATCGTCGAGTGGAACTCTATTTTCGCCCAATTGGCGTTCGCCGGGTGGTGATGTCATCTTGATGTCCGCACCCTTATTTCTTTTTTCGTGAATTTTAAATATATTTCCTTTTTATTTCCTAGTATAAAATTCATAGAAAATAGTATTATTTGAGGAAAATTCTAAATAATTACCAGATATTATATTACATCCTTGTGATCGACCTAGAAAATTAACACTATTTTTGGAAATTTTATTGAATTATAATTGATATATTTTTTCAGAAATACTTCTAAGTATCTGAAAATTCGTATTTTCTAGTTTTATAAATTTTAAATTTACGTGATTTACTATACAACGACTAAGTCACGTCAAGTACCAAGAGGGGGTATGAATTAATTTACTATATTTTTTGGCTATGTATATGTGTTGACACATATTTTAAAATAATTTATATGAAAATTAGCTTAAGATTTATATTTGTCATGTAGTCACTCTAGTCTCTCTCTTTCTGTCATTTTCAATGATAATGGACACATATTTTATATTGGTTCACCTTTCCTTGAGCTATGTCTAGTATTAGAGGATCCCCCTAATAGATTTTCATTATTTTTTCAATGTAAATACAACTAACTTCATGGGCTCAATTCTCTTAACACAATTGTTCAATCTCCATAGATATCTCACCCCTCATAGACATGTCTTGACTTATAGCACCATGTGCTTCTATCAAGAAATAATTCTCCTCAAATAATAACATATTGTATAATAAGGTCTTGGCTTTCAACATATTGTGCTTTAGTCTTACCCTCTCTCCACTCACCACTCAAGTTATCTTAAGGCTTGATAGAGAGAGACAGCCTTTAAGATACTTGTTTTATTTGTAAGTTAACAAAGATGATTGAGTAGGATGAAACTTTAAGTGTTTCTTTGAGATGTACAGTTGCTTTATTGTAGATAATTAAATAGATCTTCTTCTTGAGCTTGTGTGAGTGATGTGAATGAAGATTCATTTATTCAACATTGAATCTAATTTGTCCTCAACTCTTCTCTCTTATACTCCAATAGATTCATGTCATTTCAACATATGAAATGGTCATATATTTTTAATATCTTCTCGTTGGTCTGCATGCACTCTGGTGACCTTGAGTTTCTTTTTACTTTCAAACTTTTTTCTCTGGTGACTGTTGTCAATGATATCTTATTTAAAAATTCACAATTGACTGAGGAACACTCCTTCCTTCAAAGTCTTACATAGAAGAGTTTGTTTGGCTTATATTTAGTCCATGTCTTCTACTAATGAGTTATTGTCTAAATTATTGAGTCAAACTTTATCTCATAGTTGTATCATCTTTGATATTGTGTCTAGAGGTCCACAACTGATCAACATGTATATTCGTCTTTAGCACTGAGCTAGTGTAATATTATTGAACTTGTCATTTTATCCATGAACTTTAATGATGTTTTACTGTCCAGAATGTGTGATGTTGACCTTAAGTTTTTGTTTACTTCAAAACATGTAGGTCTTACACAAATAGTTTTTGAAACTTATATTAAAGTTGATGATGCTTCAACATATAATCTTGCTCTTGATACTAGGTTGTAATTTGGTCATTTCTACTTTATCTTTTTCTCCACATAAGACTCTGACATGTCACTATGTACTTTATATAGAGACAACTTCTCTACCTCCTTATTTGATTCATTCAAATGGTTCAACTCAGCTACCATATGAGTTATGAATTTGAATCTTATTTCAGTCACTAATCATGTATTTTTATTTTAAATATTTTAACCAATTTTTTGTACTATAGTACTTTTTATTTCAAATTCTGCCTATTATGAGGTTTGAATATTTCAACCATTTCTTTTTCCACTTCTACAAATTTTTGTTCTTGAGTTTGAATCTCAAGTGTGTCATAATGTGTCTTTGATATTTCAGATATTTTTGCATTGATGGTCTTTTCTTCACATTGCCTAGATACTATGTTTGAATCTCACTAGTGACTTTGATTTTTCAAAATATATTTGAAACTTTGTTACATGTGTTGACATATGTTATGATGTACTTATATTTAGATAATATTTTACTACATTACTTTAATATAAAAAATTTCTCAAGGAAGTGACTCCTTTGATTTGTTCAACCATAAGATTGCATAGAGTATTCTCAATATATGTAATTTAAATAATATCTATTTTATGATGAATATCAATGAATTATAGTTTAACTTATTTAACAATAATTCATGAATAAATTATTCATTGTATGTGTCAAAAAAAATTGTGTGTCAACATTGAGGGCATTAATACCTACATCCACTCTCCAAGAAACAAAATTATTCTTAAGTTCCACCACTTGTGATTATCCAAGCACAATCACTTATTAATGGGCTCAATTCTCTTGAAGATTCACCTAGAATCTCTCTTCTAGTTTCACGTCTCTAAGATGCTACACCACTTATTACAAGGATTAGCTCCCATGAAATTTCACCTTCAAAATTTCTTTTTAGATTCATGCTTTTAAGAGGCCACGCTATTGTCAATAGAGAAAGCTCATACTCATGATAAATAAACATTTAATGTCACATTTATTCGACAAAAAATAACTTAGCCATCACTTAATAACGTGTTTAATTTTTTTGATTCCTTTAAGAGGTGAACTACGGGAGTGAATATCATATAAGAAATATATTAATATCAAGAACAGAAGCGTCTGTGCATCAGGAGAGTCCCAAACCCAGAAGCCAATATTAGAGAACTGAGCTTGCACCCATTAGGAACATGCAAATATCAATTTGCAGGGAACAGAGGACCATACTGGCGCATGATTGTTGCCATAGTGCTCACTTGCGTGTTTCTTCGGGACCATGTCTCCACAGATAGAACGTTTCTCAAAGTTCTAAGAGAGCAATGCACATAATGCAGATCGATATTCGACGTTGGAATATCCTTTCCGCTGTAAATGGGAACGAGAGATGAAACAGGAGAATCAGGCAAGGAGCTCCGGCCCTAAAAAATGATCCCGACATAAAATTTAATCACCAATAACATGGATAAAAAATTCAGCGCAAAGGCTACACTGTTAATACCTCGGCTTTTTTTGTGCGTGGTCGCTAATGTGTCATTACATACTATTTTGGCAAGAGGGGCAGGATGTTTTCCTTGGAATTATAGATCAAACCCCATCGTTTAAGCGAAAAATGATGATGCCGCAAGAACACCCACGCGCACATGACGCAAAAAATCGTATAGGTCGGCAGGATAAAAGTGGTTGTTGGATCCCTCTTCTAATGGAGTTGTGGCCCAGATCCGGAACAAGCCCACTACTACGTGAAGAAAGATGCTTACTCCGAATTGAATAGGGTTCCTCGGTTCCAGTCTCAGTACGTGCCCAGAAACGTTCTTTCCAGCTTGCCTAAGATCCGTCTCTGGGCTTTCGAGATGACGACCCGTTCCGCTGGCTCCGGATTTCTTTTCAGGAACTCTTGCAGGACAAGGACGGCGCCAGTGAAGATAGAGGGCTTTGAAGAGCTGATGGGCGGCGAGGCAACGCTGAAGCATGATGCAGAGGAGCACCGACTGACCTCTCCGTCGAAGTGAAATCAGATGAGATCTTCCTCTGTTGAAGAATGACACATACTCTGCTAGTGTCTTTTTCCTTCGTTGCTTCTTCCATTCATAGAAAAGTGGGCTATATTTACTTTTGGGTGATGATTACTTAGCTCGCTTTCACCTCATGAAATGAAAATTTAGAATAATTTCTTGCGCCACATCTTATGAATGGCTGTAAAGATGAAGGGTTCGGTCACTGTTTCATATCTAAAATTATGCCCCCCCCGATTGGGCAAATGGTTCTGGTCAAACCAACTCGACTGGTTCTTTCCAGCCCGAAAAAAGAAAATGGAAATTTGTTGTCTTTACAGCCTTTGGTTCTAGCACTTTGCATCATTGAAATAGTAGTTTAATCACCTCGGCAGATGATCATATGGGGGATACCCCATTCGAAAGTGTCAAGTCAACCCCTCCAGTGCGTACCGGGCAGTATGAATTTGGAGACTTTTAGTCTCAGTACTGGACTGCGTAATTTTTTTTTCTCAAAGCTGGCAAAGAAGTCAGCCACTCGGTTTTTCACACGAACTAGTTGGAGGGGCACACGACCGTCGTCACTGCGACAGTATATCGTCTCTAGGACGTTATTACAACAGGTACATTCGAAACCGAAAGGAGCAGGGGGCAAGTCGATCGATCAGTCGAAGGAAGCCGTTCTCTTCCGTTGGCCTGCTCTAGGGCCGTAGCTTGTACTTGTTCTCCACCAGGTACTGGGCAAGTCCGTCGACGTAGCTCTCCTGCAGCGCGTAGTCGGAGAAGACCGCCGCCGCAGCCCTCGCCGCCTCCCGCAAGGGTTCTCCGGCGGTGTCCGCCGCCACAAATCTCACCGTCTCCGCCACCCCTTCCCGGGTGAACGCCCCGTCTTCCTCTGCCCTGGGCACCTCCCTCCCGTAACCCCTCTCCACCGCCAGCCTCGAGATGAGCCCCTGGTCTGCGAACAGCGGCAGGAGCACCAGGGTTAGCCCGTGGCTGAGTCCCTCAATGATGGAGCTCCACCCGCAATGGGTCAGGAAGCTCCCCACCGCCGGGTGAGCCAGAACCTCCGGCTACGGGATCCACCTCTTCACTACCATGCCCTTGCCGGCGGTCTCCGCTTCGAACCCCTCCGGGATTAGCTCTGCATCGGGCGGTAGGCTGGCGGGGCGCCTAAGGGCCCAGAGAAAGGGGATCCCGGAGAGATTAAGGCCCTGGGCGAGCTCGTGGAAAAGTTCCACGCTTAACAGTGCCTCGCTGCCGAGGGCGACGTACAACACAGAGCCGGGCGTTTGCCTGTCGAGCCACTCGAAGATCTCACCGTCCGGATTGGCGGCGACGGTTCTTGCAACTCCGTTTTGCACCGCCGGGGAGAGAAAGCCGGCTGGGATGATGGGTTTGGCGAATAGATCCTGGAGGAGGCGGATCCAGTCGCCGTCCAGCTCCGGGCAGCTCCGTACGATCACCAGCTGGACAGAATCGTTTGTGGAGGCCCAGCGGTGGGAATCGCTGACGCCGGACTCATTGACGACGGTAACGACGGAAAGCCCAATGGCCTCGTAAGTGTAAAAGGCGATTGTAGTCGCGATCCCAGAGATCCACGGCGGCGGCACGGTGAGGCTCTTCACGTTCGAAAACCAGTCGCTGCCGTCGCTGCCGTCGCCGCTGGCCCCAAGGACCATTGAAGGGGCTCCGAAGAAAGCCAAGCATGGGGGCGAGAATACACTGAAATAGGCGCACGGAAGACAGCGAGGGACTGCCAATCTGGGCATCCAGTGTGCGGAGAAATCGTGGACTACCCAATCGACGGGCGGGGATACCGAATCGAGGAAGGCGGCGAAGGGGGCCTCCAGTTCGTCGAACGCCTTCTTCAGGTGCCCATTGTCCTCGAGACGGATGTCGCTGGTAGCCTCTGCGCCGGGAGGGAGAGGGGTTCCGGAGGGAAAGGGAAGCTGGACGAGGTGGAGTAGATGGGACGAGACGGGAGGGACCTTGGGCAGCCTCTGGATGTTGCGCGGGGTGGAGAGGAAGGAGACCCGGTGGCCGCGGCGAGCCAGGGCCTTGGAGAGCTCGAAGTAGGGCAGGATATGCCCGAACGCCAGCCAGGGAAACACGGCGACATGAAGATGGGCGCCGGAATCTCCCTCCATGGCGGCAGCGGTGCTCCGAGCGGCGTGCAGGAGACCATGGGCAAGTAGAGTCGTGCATAGGAAGTAAACAAGCTTATCCCTATTTGTATTTCTTTATTAGAAGAACGCATGACCACTAGACTACTATTGGGTTTCACTTTGTCCCCCTCCCTACTCTCTCTCGGAGATCTGCTCCATAAATTCTTAGGCCCCATAAATAGCTTGTTATAAGTGTTTTCACTAAAAAAATTATACATTCTTTCAAAAGTATTTATTTAAAGCCTTCTTAGATGAGAATGCCTTCACTACAAATCTACTTCATGCGTTCAATCTCCTAAAAAAGCAAGAATGTCAGTCCACTCACTTTTTAGATTGGCTAGTAAAGCATTATTCTTACAAACATGGTAGCATTAGTAACAATGGAGGTAAAAGTAAGCTATTGGCCTACCTAGTATGGAAAGATAAAACCTATTAATTTATTTTGAAACTTGATTTTATAATCTCTAGAATATTAGTTATAATTATTTGAATGATGATAGTAGAAAGAATAACTTGTAGTTTTTGTTTGAGTTTACACAAAATAATGTGGGTCACCACAAATTCCTTTGGATTGACATGGTTTTCTACTAGGTCAACATAGTTTTATGTACGGTCAACATAGTTTTTGACAATTTTAATATTCTATTTATGTTGGTTGACATAGTAAGTTCCAACACATCTTGAATACAAGGATTTGTAGTAGTTCAATTATTCTTTGGCCTATGTCTACTTGCTAAGGATATAAATATTTAGTTTGCACTATTCTCTCTCAAATAATTATAATAAAATTTACAGGATCAACAATTAGCTTTTATATGAGAGTATTCAAAAGAGTATCGCCCCATGTTAAACGCAGCACTACCTCTCCAATCCATCCATATTACTAACACTCCTAAAATGTATTCATGCATGATAATAAGTTATAATCATTTACTAAGGCCTCAAGATGTCAAAATAGGACCATCTTTGCCAAGAAGAAATGAGTTGAGCAAAGGAAGTTTTAGCATATATGATCTTACATCAAAATTTTCTTTTGAAGGTTTGGACAATGAAATGAGGAGATTTTCTGGGCTTGAGGTGCTATTAGAAGGATCATATGAAGGATTTATTATATGACTCAAAGTTTAGACTACTAGAGATCAAATGAGTGAAATCTGACAAGCAAAAGATTTTATCCATTAGCACATGGGTTGACATACTATCAAGGCAGCACAATTAGGTTGGCCAAGAGTGATGGCTTGACCAGCCTTTGACAAGGTGATACATGTCAGTTTGTGATCTTCTAACATGTTAGCCTGAGATCCTTCAATATGTCTTCATCTTTTGATGTTTTAGGCCAATGTCTTTTATACATCATCTTCTAATATGTTAGGATTATCTATCCTTATTAGCTTTGCTTGTCACACAAAGATTTGCTTCTGTGTCAATATTTGTGATGTGTCATTTATGCTTGTTGATCTTTTGTGACATGTCATCTTGATGAGTTGACTTTGCCATGTGACATTTGATAATGCCACATGTCATATTGAATTAGGCTTTTATCATGCTGATGTTGGATGACTGCCACATGTCACTTGATTTCTCTGACAATGTGTTATCTGTTTAGCCACCATAAGATGCAACATATCATATTAACTTTGTTTTCCATGTGTCATATTGTCTAGTCACCATACGATGTCATATATGAAGTTGACTTTGCTTTTCACATGTTGTCTTGTCTAGCACCACATGATATCATGTGCCATGAATTTATTTTTTTTTCATTTGTCATTTTGTTTAGTTAGATTTCCCACATGCTCAAATGTGATACCCTAGTCATTTTTGACACATTTTATTATGAAAAACATTTATGACTTGGAATGTGTTGGCACGCTATTATAGCAGATGGACACAATGTGTCAACACTCATTTTGACCTATTTTCTCCCTCATCTGATTTTGGCCTAAAAAGACTTACTCTGATCCAACTTGACTTGGCATTATACATGTATGACTGCTGATGTCTCTTTCTTTTATTATAGGTCTGAAAAACACATTTAGATAACAACCAAAATTAGATTAGTATATTTCAACATATTTTATGATGATTTGTAAGCACTAGATTTTCATGAACATCAAAATTACTTAAACTAGTAAGGATTAAGGTTTTAGAAAAAGGAGTATGCCGAGTTGGACAAAGTACTATAAATCTTGATTTAACCAATATGAGAGAAAATCATAATTTAAGGGGTGATTTGTTGAAGACCGATTCCCCCCTTAAAACTACTTAAAATCACTAATATATTATGCATATATATCGAGATAGACTTAGACTATGCCACCTTTAGAAGTTAGTGCACATTGTTTAACCTTTGCCTTTAAGTTCATTATAAGGTCGTGAAATAAAGTTTCATAAGTAGAGTTGCCAACTTTGTCATCCAAAAGTTTGAACATGAAGAAAGCTCTTGATTGGATTTCTAACTTCATTTGAATTAATGACTCTTGAACTTGAGAAACAAAAGTATCTAATTATGTTGTATTCTCTCCCACTCTCCTCCCACTTTTTTGGCACACCAAAAAATACTTTCTCCTAATAATTGTTTATTTTTCATCATTTACATAATTCATAGAATCACATAATGATAATGAAGTTTTGAAATTGTTTGGTGAAATTTAATATTTTTTCTAGTGATACTTACAAATAAAATATCATGAAACACAATAATGTTTAGGCATTACTTACAAAATTAAAGGTTATCAAAGGTCATAACACATGAAAAAAAATGTTTGTTACAATAACTTATGATTTTCTAAAAAGAAAGAGTTTGGTAGTTCCCTTAAAAGAGATATAATATAAATATGTAACATGTATACAATCATGACAAAATAATATTCTCTGAACTAAACCTTAAACCCTAAAACCCTAAACCTTAAACCCTAAACGACAACTAGTCCGGTTTTAAAATTTTAAATAATTGGAAACAATTGATACTAATAGACAACGAATGATTGTATCTCAATTAATGGAAAAATTGACAAGAAATCTTTTACAGGGTAGGAGTGAAATAGAGCCTCAGAAAACAAATTGAAATATCAGTACCCAGCACAAATCTAGATAAAGATCTATACATATGGCAATTAACTATGAATGATGAATTTAGTGTCAAATCAGCTTGAGAATATTTCAGAATCCTCCTAGAGCCAAAACTCATATTTTTTATCTGATTATCGCGACTTTTCTGTAGATCACCGGTGAAGGATTAAGCTGCTAGAATTGCTAGATCATCGGTGAAAATCTCATCAACACGATTCGCGGAGCATTGTTACTAAAATTACTAAACGATTTGCGATTAAAGGATCGCAAATCCATCAAGTAAAGCATCTCCAATTGATCGACGAATAAGCCGTCGTCGAGAAGAGGACGATCCGCCGGGAGACGAGTTGCCACCTCCTGAGAGCGTACTAGATGCGATGAAGAGCCTCGTCTTGCTACGCGGACCTGAGAATGAACCTCCCTAACACAAGCTCCACCTCTATCCAAGTCCTCTCCATCGAGTGATAGTCGTTGGAGAGCTACAAAGTTGCAGTTTTTCCACTCCATCGGGTGACAACCGTCGGAGACAATTCGACGATCCATTTCATTGATCTCTAGACTTCGTAAGGAGATCTAGATATTACCCACGTCATCCTTGTCCAAAGAGAGCCTTTGAGGATGTGGACACTACACGGCGATCCTTCTAAATGCTTAGGATTCTAATACATCGTTGACACATCGCTGTCATGATGTCAGAACTCTATTTTCCTACTTTCAACTTAATTTTCACTTCATTTAGTGATAATTTTTGTGATTTAAATTTACTAAACTATACTTCATTCAATTATAATTCTTTCAGCTTTTACAGATCTTAATTTGATCAATTAAATCGTCTGTAATCACTTACATAAGAATTGCAAAGCGGAACTCTATTTTCACCCGATTTGCATTCGTCATGTGCTGACGTCATCTTGACGTTTGCACCCTTCTTTTCCTTTTTTGTAAATTTTAAATTTATTTTATTTTCATTTCTTAATATAAAATTTATAGAAAATCATATTCTTTGAAAGCAATTATGAATAATTACCTGATATTATATTACATCCCTATGATCGACTTGAAAAATATCATTATTTTTGAAACTTTGATTGAATTATAATTGATATATTTGTTCAGAAATACTTCTAAATATCCAAAAATTAGTATTTTCTAGTTTTATAAATTTTAAATTTGCATGACTTACTATACAATGACTAATTCACGTCAACTAGTTAGCTGATGGATTAAAATTATGTGAAAAATTAAACTTATATAACATTGTAATTGAAATTGTCTCAATGACACTCGTCAAGATGTTTGAAAAATAAGAATATAAGCAAGAAAAATTAAAAATAATATAGAAAGAGATAAACATTATATAAACATATAATCAAATCCCTAGAACATGTTTATCATACAGGTAACCAATTGACTAACTACCTTGTTAATGTGAGCTTATAGTAGCAAGGGGAACAAATCTACAAGTGAATGTAGGACTTACCTTGGAAAGGGAGAGACATATACAATTTAGAGCATTAGGGCATGCCATATATCAAACGAACAATATAGAGGAGGCTTGATCTAGCTTGAAAAGGATGAAGAAAGCACCAAAAAATAAATAAATGAAGGAAACAAGCAATAGTCAAAATCAGCACAATGGGAAGTATAATCAAAGCACGATGAAAGGTATGTTAAATTCTCACATAACTTGTTCTTTACATACAACACATGATATATTGTCCTCTTCATGCATCACACCTAGAATAGTAGCATAAATCACCATGCAAACATGAGAGGAAAATAGTTGGAAAATAGGAAAGAAGGAAAAAGGAAAAAAAAAAGTGTAAAGAAAATAGTTCAAAATTAATTGTGAAGAGCATGGAGCTGTACCTTGCTAGACCAAACCGATGACCCCAATTAGGAGAAGGACAACATGATGATCAAGACATGGCAAGTGAAGACTAATGGGAGAGAAAAGCCCCAAAAGCTCACCCATTTGACCACGAAGGTATAGGGAAATCAAAGAATCAAAGTACAGGAGGAAGGAAAAAAAAAGAGTGAAAGTGCCAAAAGTTAGTAACTTTCTTCCCCCCCCTCCCACCCCCTTCAAAAAAAAAAAGAAGGAAAAAAAACAAATAAAAAATAGAACAAAAAGGAGGGAAAGAAGGAATAGGGGTGAAGGAGGGGGAAAGGAGAGAAATGATCCATGAGGAAAATGCTACCCTTCTACTCAAATTACTTATCTTGAAGAAAAGATTTAGAGATGAAATTGACTGAGGGGAAGAAAGGAAAGTAGAAAAAGCTCTAACAGTCCTAGATGTCTTCATGAACATGGATTGGTTAGAATCAGTCCAATCATAAGAAGGGGTACACTGGAGTGGGCAAACAAGGGAACAAAGAAACATGTTTACTTCATAATTAATATCAATTTATAAAAAAAAAGAGAGAGGAGAAATAAGAGAGGAAACTTAGGGAGCTAGAATGTCAATTACCATTGAGGGAACCAATGACAAGAAATGACGGCATGGTCCCCATCAATAGTTACACCCCAATATTCTCACCACCGTACTTCCCTATACATGGTATACTAATAAGTTTTCATTATCATGAGTTAATAATTAGTAAATAATATAGTTTTAGCCTTAACTCGTGATAAATAGACTTATATTTGTGTTAAAGTGTGAAAAGTGGTTTTCAGTTGATTAATGTGATTTTTTGGGTAATTATGTGATTTTATACGAATTTATATGATTTTTACGGTCTTACTTTTGAGATAAATGAAGAAAAAGAAATAAAACTAAAATATTGCAAAATGGGGGGACCCGCCGGCCAGCCGGGCCCGCAAGCGGGTCGGAAGCTTAGTCGGGGAGTAGCCGCGAGCAGGGGCTCGAGCGGCTTGGACCGATAAGGGCACATGTACGCCACTCCCCTTCCACGTCACCGGTGGCCAGCCGGCTGTGGGGCAAGGAGTGGTCGTACACGCGAGAGAAGGGACTTTGCTTAGAAAGCTAACATTACTATATATTCGCCTGAAAAATCGGCGCACAACCGATGTGGGACTAAACCCGTGTCACACCTTCCTCAGAAGGGGCGGACAACCGGCGCGGGTTCGAATCCTCCCAGAGTCAAAATTCATATATTTTTATCTGATTATCGCGACTTTCCTACAGATCGCCAGTGAAGGATTAAGCAACCAAAATTGCTGGATCATCGGCGGAAATCTCGTCAACGCGATTCGCGGAGCATTGCTACTAAAATTGCTGAACGATTCGCGATAAAAGGATCGTGAATCCATCGAGTAGATCATCTCCGATTGATCGACGAACAAGCCGTCGACGGGAAGAGGACGATCTGCCGGGAGACGAGTCGCCACCTTCTGAGAGCGTACCAGATGCGATGAAGAGCCTCCTCTTGCTGCGCGGACCTGAGGATGAAGCTCTCTGACACGTGCCCCACCTCCATCCAGCTCCTCTCCGTCGAGTGACAGCCGCCAAAGAGCCGCAAAGTCGCCGTTTTTCCGCTCCGCCGGGTGACAGCCGCCGAAGACGATTCGACGACCCACTTCATTGATCTCTAGACTTCGCGAGAAGATCTAGAGATTGCCCACGTCGTCTTTGTCCAAAGAGAGCCTTCGAGGCCGTGGACACTGCACGACGATCCTCCCGAACGCTCAAGATTCCAGTGCATCACCGATGCATCGCCGTCGCGACGTCGGAACTCTATTTTCCTGCTTTCAATTTAATTTACGCTTCATTTAGTGATACTTTGTGTGATTTTAATTTACCAAACTATACTTCGTTCAATTACGATTCTTCCGGCTTTTACAGATCTTAATTTGATTAATTAAATCGTCTGTAATCGCTTACGTAAGAATCGTCGGGCGGAACTCTGTTTCTGCCCGATTCGCGTTCGCCGGGCGCTGACGTCATCCTGACATCCGCACCCTTATTTCCTTCTTTTTCGTGAATTTTAAATATATTTCTTTTTCATTTCCTAGTATAAAATTCATATAAAATCGTATTCATTGAGAAAAAATCTGAATAATTACAAAATATTATATTACATCCCTGTGATCGACCTAGAAAATTACCGCTATTTTTGGAAGTTTTATTGAATCATAATTGATATATTTATTTAGAAATACTTCTAAATATCCGAAAATTCGTATTTTCTAGTTTTATAAATTTTATATTTGCGTGATTTAATATACAATGACTGAGTCACGTCATATACTATGGTACTTCTGCCTGATAATGTAGGCCAAAAGATGGCAAGAACACAACAATCATACTGGAAAAGAGAAATCAAAAGGAAAAGGAATGCCAAGAAGTTTATCACATAAAGAGGCCAAGCCTTGGAACAAAGGAAGACAAGGACTGGAAATGGAAAAAAAGGAACACACAAATGAAAAAGAATCCTAGATGTGCCCAGCAAAGCAACGATTGGTTCAACGACCACGAACTGGTCACTGGTTTAGAGGAAACGCTGCAGTCAAAAACAAAGGAATGTTAGCTGATGATGATATCCAAAGATCAGGCCCAATAACAAGAACACAGACCCACACAACTATCACGGGTGCCATATGGGTTGCACATGTGTAAATTAAGGGAAAGAATTCTACCACATGTAACTCTATCGGCCCAACCCCATAGGATCCAACCTGCGGCGGATCTAGACTAGGATCTGAAATGATGTACTAATTATGGATCAGCAATGCATGAACCTTTTAATAAAATAATAATAATAATAAAACCCCTAAACCCTAAACCCTAAACCCTAAACCCACCCACAAGTGGGTGAGTCATCACAGAGTAGAAAAAAAACTCCGTAGTTAAGTATGTTTAGGTGGGAGCACTCATTGGATGGGTGACCTCCTTGGGAAGCCCTTGGGTACTTATGTGCCCGTGCTGCAAGGCACTTGCTCCGCATGTACCGAAAGGCACCGCTACATTATCGTGCCACCACCCATCTCCAAAAAATGTGCCGAGACTGGCATTTATACGGGAATATCTACACCTAGGTGGAAGAGTTGAAGAAAGAGGTAGCGGGGGTCAGGAGATAATTGCAAGCTCGATGGACTAACAACAACTTGGAGAGATGAGTTCGAGTGAGCGAGCAACTAGAGGAACCTTCGAACGACATGAGATATATTATCTCCAAATTTCATGCATCCAATGGCTGCGTGAGGGTGATAAGAACATACATTTCTTTCATGCCTCGATTGCACACTGATCTTGATCCGATTATACATCTCTTCTAAAGGTGTATGACTGAAACACATCTCGTATGCAAGAGGTAGAAATTTCATACTTTTGTACTCTTCTTGTCTCCCAATCAATTGGGATCTTGGAGGATATAGTTTCATCGATTCCATCCCTAGTTACCCACTAGGAGATCTCATCCATTATGACCATACCTACTAGGGAGGAGATCCAAGATGTGGTCTTCTCGATGAATAGATATTGAGTACTTTGACTCGATGATTTCTCAACTGATTTCTATTTAGCATGTTAGGACATTATTAGAACATATCAAGTTCATGTCATCAAGGAATTCTTTCGTCGCAAAATCTTCCCATGGAGTTGGAAAGCCACCTTTATTGCACTTATACCAAAGGTGGTCAACCAACTTCTTTTAAAGACTTTTGGCCCATCAGTCTCTATAATGTGTGCTATAAGATTATATCTAAGATCATTACAACACGATTGAGTATTTTTCTTGATAGGTTCATATCTCTAGAAGAATACGGATTTGTCAAGGGACGGACATATTCATGATAAGGTTATGTTAGTTCACGAACTAGCACAACCCTTGACTAGGACATCTGTGGTTCCAATGTTATCATCAAACTAGATATGGAAAAGATTTTTGATAAGATTGAGTAAAATTTTCTTACCGAAGTACTTCAATGCTTCAGATTCAACGACAAGTTCATTGACGTAGTCGATGTATGCGTTAGGGAGAAAAACCTCTCCTCATTGGTGAATGGCACTTCCACACCTTTTTTCACAGCCACACAAGGTTTACAATAAAGTGATCCCCTATCACCCACTCTCTTCATATTGGTTGAAGAAGTCCTTAGTTGAACCCTCTTTTGAGCGATGACACGTGGGCTTATTCAATCATATCATTCAAAGAGGGGTTGCCCAATCATATCACATTCTTTGTTTACTGATAATATGAAGAATCTATCAAGAGACTCATGACTATCATCTCGAGTTACGAGTGGGCCGTAAATCAACTCGTTAATGTCTTGAAGAGTAGCTTCATGGTGGCATCTTCTACTAGCATTAGCACCATAAGACACATACAAGATCTAATAGGGTTTTTGCATTGTCATTTACCCTTTGATTACCTTGAATGCCCCATCTTCCTCCGACGCACTTGGGTTCATTATTTTGATTCCCTTTTGTACAAGTTGAGGAATAAAATTGACGAATAGAAGCTTCAACTTCTATCTTTAGGGGGTCACATTCAATTGATGCGCCATGTCCTCATGAGTATGTCATTGCACCTACTTGTGGTATATGAGGTACTGGACATCGTCTTACGATCTATGGGGCGGATATATACCACCTTCCTGTGGGATGGTCAACTTGACGAGCCTCATCACCAACGTTGAGTTTCTTGAGAGAGTGTACCGACTAATGGAAGAAGGCGGCCTAGGGATTAGGTGCCCCAAAGACATCCTTGACATACTTTAGAAGAAACTCATATGGTGGATGAGAATGATGAGATCACCTCTAGGGACTTTTGTGTTGGCCAAATATGGTGATTGGGCTAGCCAATTGGCTAACATAAAAGGAGGGAAGCGATCGGCAGATTGGCAAAGACATTGGCTCTAGATGAGGCTTTTAATCTAGTGGTGAGTGAGACGAGGCACTATTAGTACTTGGTATGACACTTGGCTCATAGTATCCCTTTGGCCTTCTCTGTTCCCTTTATGTCGTCTTAGCCTCGTCTCACGGTGGCTCAATTGATGACAGGTATGTGTGTGTGCATGCTGCAAGACATCCGCTTTGCATGTGCTGAAAGGCATTGCTGCATTATCATGCTGCCAAGCAAGTGGTATGAGCCTCTCTATCAACCCTCAAAGAATAGGTGACCTCCCTCGGAAGTCCTCGGAAGTCCCTAAATGTGCCAAAGCAATACCAAGATGGTTGGCCTCCTCTTGGGAAGGGGCTAGGCCCCCTTAAGAGGACTAAAAAAAAATACCCTAAACCCTAGACACTCCTAAGTGAGAGTTTTGCCAATCCACCCACCTACCTTCACCAAGGTGCACCTAGGCTAGAGTAGTACTAAGATTCATCCTAAGAAGGGGCTAACCTCCATATCCTTCTCCCACACCTCTTAAGGCAAAAATACCCTTGACTCTAGAGCAGTATTAGGACAGTCGACCTCCTAAGAATGGGCTAAGTGTCAAGTCATACCACATGGGCTAGGGTAGTACCAAGATGGGTGGCCTCCTCCTAGGAAGGGGCTAGGCCCTAGACGCCTCTCAAGAGGACAAAAAAAAAACCTTAAAACCTAAACCATTTTTTGTAAATTTTTAAATATATGTTATATTCATCATTTAGTCTAAAAATTATAAAGAAATCATGTTCTTTTAGGAAAATTCTAAAATATTACCAATATTATCTTATATCCTTGTGATCGACTTAGAAATTTCTTATTATTTTTGAAACCTTTATCGAATTATAATTTAATTTTTTATTCTAAAATATTTTTTAAAATTTAGAAATTAATATTTTTAATTTTATAAAATTTTAATTTACATGATTTATTATACAACAACTAAGTCACGTCAATGAGAGTGTTGCCACTAGATCCCATAAAAACTCTGAAGTTAAGTGTGCTGGGGTTGGAATAATAGTAGAATGGGTGACCTCTTAGGAAGTTTCTTCAAGAGCCATGTACCTCCCCCCTCCGCTGGCTACAATAATATCAACATGTTTTTAAAAAAGAAAAGTAAAATTATTCTTTTAACTCCACTTGGAAAGGGCTAGGCCTCAAGGTGCAGTGCATGAACTAGAGTAGTACCAAGATGGTTAACTTCTTTAGGGAGGGGCTAGGCCCAAGTGCCCCTAAAAGAACAAAAAAAAGAAAACGCCAAAATCCTAAACCCTAAACTTTTAACCCCCTAAGTTGGAGTGTTGCCACCATATCCCATAAGAACTCTAAAGTTAAACCTGTCTAGGTTGAGTAGTGGCAGGATGGGTGACTAACGTGACTTATTCATTGTATATTAAATCACGCAAATATTAAATTTATAAAACTAGAAAATATGAATTTTCAGATATTTAGAAGTATTTCTGAAAAAATATATCAATTATAATTCAATAAAACTTCCAAAAATAGTGGTAATTTTCCAAGTCGATCACAGGGATGTAATATAATATCTGGTAATTATTCAGAATTTTTCTCAATGAATACGATTTTCTATGAATTTTATACTAGGAAATGAAAATGAAATATATTTAAAATTCACGAAAAAAGGGAAATAAGGGTGCGGACGTCAGGATGATGTCAGCGCCTGGCGAATGCGAATCGGGCGAAAACAGAGTTCCGCCCAACGATTCTTACGTAAGCGATTAGAGATGATTTAATTACTCAAATTAAGATCTGTAAAAGCCAGAAGAATCGTAATAGAACAAAGTATATTTTGGTAAATTAAAATCACAAAAATTATCACTAAATGAAGCGTAAAGTAAGTTGAAAGTAGGAAAATAGAGTTCCGGCGTTGCGACAGTGATGTGTTGGCGATGCACTGGAATCTTGAGCGTTCAGGAGGATCGTCATGTAGTGTCCACGGCCTCAAAGGCTCTCCTTGGACAAAGACGACGTGGGCAATCTCTAGATCTCCTTGCGAAGTCTAGAGATTAATGAAATGGGTCGTCGAGTCGTCTCTGGCAGCTGTCACCCGGCGGAGCGGAAAAACAATGACTTTGTGGCTCTCCAGTGGCTGTCACCCGATGGAGAGGAGCTGGATGGAGGTGGGGCACGTGTCAGGGAGCTTCATCCTCAGGTCTGCGCAGCAAGAGGAGGCTCTTCATCGCATCTGGTATGCTCTCAGGAGGTGGCGACTCGTCTACCGACGGATCGTCCTCTTCCCGACGATGGCTTGTTCGTCGATCAATCGGAGATGATTTACTCGATGGATTCGCCATCCTTTTATCGTGAATTGTTCAGCAATTTGAGTAGTAATGCTCCGCAAATCGCGTTGACGAAATTTTTGCCGATGATCTAGCGATTCTCGTTGCTTAATCCTTCACCGGCGATCTGCAGGAAAGTCGCGATAATCAGATAAAAATATATGACTTTTGACTTTGGGAGGATTCGAACCCACGCGGGTTGTCCGCCCCCTCTGAGGAAGGTGTGACGTGGGTTTAGTCCCACATCGGTTGTGCACCGATTTTTCGGGCGAATATATAGTAATGTTACATTTCTAAGCAAAGTTCCTTCTCTCGCGTGTACGACCACATCTTGCCCCACAGCCGGCTGGCCACCGTTGACGTGGAAGGGAAGTGGCGCACACGTGCCCCTATCAGTCCAAGCCGCTCGAGCCCCTGCTCGCGGCTACTCCCCGATTGAGCTTCCGACCCGCTTGTGGGCCCGGCTGGCCGGCGGGTCCCCCTCATTTTGTCTTATTTTTATTTTTTATTTCTTTTTCTTCATTTATCTCAAAAGCAAGACTGTAAAAATCATATAAATTCATGTAAAATCACATAATTACCTAAAAATTCACATTAATCAACTGAAAACCACTTTTCACACTTTAACACAAATATAAGTCTATTTATCATGAGTTAAGGCTAAAACTATATTATTTACTAATTATTAACTCATGATAATGAAGACTTATCAATGACCTTAAGCTACTAGAATATCTAGAAAAATTAGTTAAGGATTGTTGCTTTGTGGATGCATATGATAAATTATTTGATGATGATTTTTTTCAAGCTTCAAATATTTCAAAATTAGTTACAAGCTAAACAATAATTCTTAAATTCATGATACTTTAATGCATACTTATGACCAGCAACTTGAATTAAAAACATTGTCATCTACTCTCAAATACACATTCCTTGGTAGAAGTAACACTTTTCTCGTCATTATTTTTTCATCATTAATATCAACACAAGAAGAAAAGCTGATGAATATTCTTCAGCTACATAAAATAGTGATAAGCCGGTCTCTTACAAACATCAAAGGTATTAGTGCAAACATGTGTATGCATAGAATTTTTATTAAAGAAAATGTCAAACCCTCTAGAGAAGCCCAAAGATAATTGAATTATAAAATATTAGAAGTGGTGAAGAAAGAGATTATGAAATGGTTAGATGTAAGGATCATATATGCCATCTCTAATAGCCATGTGTATGCCTTATCTCTGTATTACCTAAGAAAACAAGAACCACTGTGACCATAAATGAAAAAGGAGAGAAAATTCAAACTAGATTATCATCTAGTTGGAGAATTTGCATAGATTATAGGAAGTTAAATGTTTAACAAAAAAACATCATTTTTCTTTACTTTTATTGATCAAATTTTAGAAAACTTAACTACTAATTTTTTTTCTATTTTTTAGATAGATAATCTAGTTATAATCAAATAGCTATACATTCTAATGATCAAGAAAAAATCATTTTTACATCCCCTTTTGGCACTTTCGCATTTAAGAGAATGTCTTTTAATTTATGTAATACACCATCCACATTTCAATGATTTTTTACATTCGATGGATGATTGTTTAATTTTTGGTCAATCATTTGAGTGTTGTCATAACTTACCAAAGGTCTTGTAGCTATGCGTGGACAAGAATCTGGTATTGAGTTGGGAGAAATCTCATTTCATGGTACGAGAGGGAATGGTGTTGGGCCATCTAGTCAACAACCATGGATTAAAGATGGGCAAAGCCAAGATAGAAGTGATCCAAAACCTCTCCATCCCTAATTCCATTAGATAACTGAGAGCTTTTTTGGGTCACACTGATTTTTACATATCTTTATTAAAGACTTTACTAGAGTTTCTAAACCTTTGACTAAAACTAAGCTACTTTCTAAAGATGTTAATTTTGAAATAGATGTTGCAAGTCAACAAGCTCTTTTTTATGGATTAAGAGGATGCTTATAGAGGCTCCAATTTTGCAACCACCTATCTATAGCCTTCCTTTTGAACTAATGTGTAATGCCTCAGATTTTGTACTAGTAGTGGTCCTAGGTCAACTATTGACAAGAAACAAATGACAATTTACTATGCAAGTAAGACGTTAGTCGAAGCTCAAGTAAATTACACTACTATAGAAAAAGAATTATTAGCTATTATTTTTGCATTAGATAAATTTTTAATCTTATTTGTTATGTAGCAAAATTATCATATGCTCTCATCATTCTATCCTTAAATATTTGCTTAACAAAAAAGAAGTCGAATCTCAATCAATTATGTGGGTTTTATTACTACAAGAATTTGATGTACAAAATTAAGGATAGACAAGGATGTGAAAATTATGTAGCTGACCACCTATCTAGATTACATATATACAATGCAAATTTTATTATTGAAAACTTTCCTGATGAACAACTCCTTAGTATACAAGCTAGAAAATTACCTTGATATGCACATGTTGTGAACTATTTAGTCATTGCTCAAATTCTAAATGGGTGGACAACAACTAATAAAAAGAAATCTTTTAAAGACATTCAATTCTATTTTTGGAAAGAACATGAATTATTTCACTTAGGGGTTGACCAAATTTTTAGACGATGTGTCCCAAAAGATGAAAATCATAGAATATTAGATTTTTTCATTCTTCTTCTTGTGCTGGACATTTTGCATCCAAGAAAACTACTACAAAAAAAATTTCAATGTGATTTTTTTAACCTACTATGTTTAAAAATTCATAGGACTTTACAAATCTTGTTTGAAGTCTCAAGCTGCAATCAACATAAGTATGAAAGACTCCATGCCATTACAACTAATTATTGAGGTCGAAATTTTTTATTTGTAGGGAATTTGATTTTACAGGACCATTTCCCCTATTTAATGGTCACGAATACATCTTAATGCCTATTGGTTATATTTCTGTGTGGATAGAGGCTATCTTTACCAGAATCAATGATCATAAAGTAGTCCTTAAATATATTGTGCAGCATATTTTTTCACATTTTGGTTGTCCAAGAGTCATACTTAGTGATGGTGGGTCACATTTTAATAACTATCATTTCAAGGCCTTACTTAAGAAATATGACGTGCAGGACAAGATGACCACACCTTACCACCCACAAGCTAATGGCCAAATTAAAGTGACAAATAAGAAATCCAAAATAAATTTACAGAAAATAGTTAGACTTGATGGTAAAGATTGGGTAAGTAGACTTCTTGACACATTGTGGGCATAAGAACAGCCTATAAAAATTCTATAAGAATGTCTCCATATAGACTGATTTTTGGTAAATCTTGTCACTTACCCATCAAAATTGAACATAGAGGTTATTGGGCAATCAAAAAGCTCAATTTATCATTAGATAATGCATAAAAGAGTCATATCTTACAAATTTAGGAGCCACAAGAATTATAAAATGAGTCTTATGAAAATTCTATGATTTATAAAGGTAAACTTAAAACTTTTTATGATAGGCATTTGAACTGTAAACAATTATTTAAAAATCAGAAAGTTTGGCTCTATAACTCGAACTTGAAATTATTTCCCAAGAAACTTAAATCAAGGTACCCTTTATTATTATTAAATTGTTTGATTGTGGACTAATGTTAATTATAAATCATAAGATAGGTCAGCAGCTTAGGTGAATGAGCAAAGACTCAAATCATATATGGAGCACAAGTAGCAACCTCCAAACAACTCTCTTCAACTGTAGGATCTGCTGCTATCTCTAACCTCTCATTGATAGCATCCTGGTCACTAAACTTACAGTTTTGAGTTTTTAATATAATCACTTTTTTATTTAGAGCCTTCTTCTCTTTTTAATTTTATTTTATAGTTGTCTTTTAATGTATTTGGAGTACATAGATGGGGTTCAGTACATAATCATGACAACAAGGTGATGTATACACTACACACCAGCAACAACTACGAATTGTCTTTCATTACCTAGTTTGTACCTTCTTTCTCTAAATTCTTCTGTTCTTTTTCATGCACTAGGGATAATGCATGAATTAAGTTGAGGGATGAGAAGATATATTTATTGCAATATGTATTTACAATATTATGAATACATAAAAGTTTTAAATTTATCTTATAGATGCCTAATGTGACTTAGTCATTCTATAGTAAATCATATAAATTTAAAATTTATAAAACTAGAAAATACCAATTTTTGTATATTTAGAAGTATTTTTGAACAAATATATCAATTATAATTCAATAAAACTTCTAAAAATAGTGATAATTTTCCAGGTCGATCACAGGGATGTAATATAATATTGGGTAATTATTCAAAATTTTCCCTCAAATAATAAGATTTTCTATGAATTTTATACTAAGAAATGAAAATAAAATATATTTAAAATTAACAAAAAAAGAAAATAAGGGTGCAAACGTCAAGATGATGTCAGCACCTGACGAACGCGAATCAGGCGAAAATAGAGTTCCACCCGGTGATTCTTACGTAAGCAATTATAGACGATTTAATTGATCAAATTAAAATTTGTAAAAACCGAAAGAATTATAATTGAATGAAGTATAGCTTGGTAAATTTAAATCACACAAATTATCACTAAATAAAGTAAAAATTAAGTTTATAGCAGGAAAACAGAGTTTCGACGTCGCAGCGGCGATGCATGGGCGATGCACCGGAATCCTGAGCATTCAAGAGGATCATCATGTAGTGTCCACGGCCTCAAAGGCTCTCTTAGGACAAGAACGACATGGGTAATCTCTAGATCTCCTTACGAAGTCTAGAGATCAATGAAATGAGTCGTCGAATCATCTCCGGCAGCTGTCACCCAACAGAGTGGAAAAATAGCGACTTTACAACTCTTCGGTAGTTGTCACCCAACGGAGAGGAGTTGGATGGAGGTGGGGCGCGTGTCAGGGAGCTTCATCCTCAGGTCCGCACAGCAAGAGGAGGCTCTTCATCGCATCTGGTATGCTCTCAGGAGGTGGCGATTCGTCTCTCGGTAGATTGTCCTCTTCTTGATGACGGCTTGTTCATCAATCTATCGAAGATGCTTTACTTGATAGATTTATGATCTTTTTATTGTGAATTGTTTACTAATTTTAGTAACAATGCTCTGATGGCTTAGTCCCTCACTGACGATCTGTAGGAAAGTTGCGATCATCAGATAAAAATACGAATTTTGGCTTTGGGAGGATTCAAACCCGTGCCAGTTGCTCGCCTTTGAAGCCTTTTGGGGGAAGGTGTGATACGAATTTAGTCTCACATCACTTGTGCGCTAAAGTTTTGGGCGAATAAATACTAACATCACATTTCCAAGTAATGAATCCTTTTCTCCCACGTGTACGACCACTCCTTGCCCCACAGCTGACTGTCCACTGGTGACGTGGAAGGGGAGTGGCGCACGCGTGCCCCCATAGGTCTTAGCCGCTCGAGCCCCTACTCACGGCTCCCCTCGATTGCACTTTCGACTTGCTTGCGGGTTCGACTGGCCAGCGAGTCCTCTGTTTTGCTATATTTTTATTTTTATTTCTTTTTCTTTATTTATCTTAAAAATAGGTTATATAAAAATCATATAGATTCATAAAAAAATCACATAATTAGCCAAAAATCCACATTAATCAACTAAAAACTACTTTTCACAATTTAACACAAATATAAGTCTATTTCTCATGAGTTAAGGCTAAAAATATATTATATACTAATTATTAACTCATGATAATGAAGACTTATCACTGCCATACAAAAGAATTCAATCAAAACAACATAATTCAAATTGTCATACTATTTTGTCTCCATCTTCATAAACATGCCTTCATGGAATGAGTCTTAAAAAGAAGGATTATGTCAAGTAATGTTTAGATATTCATGAACACAAGTCTACAGTAAGTAGATTTAATTATTTTTTATTTCAAAATACTTTTGTAATTGTGATAGAGCTAGTTTAGGCTACTTGATTTTCTAGCTGAAAATATCCCATAATTTAGATCACGAGTTGAAGGAAGATCACCCAACACTTTTGTGCTCATATAGAAATTAGTAGAGTGCAAGCCTCCAAAGTATGAATATCTGCATTCAAACATTCAACAAAAACTTGGAGAAAAGTTACATGCGATTCACAAAAAAACAAAATTGTGCAAAGTGAAGCCCAAATGTAAATAAAAGAGGAAATTTTCTCCTTATCTTGTGGAGCTTTCATATGTGAGACTAGGACAAGTGTTACTTTATTTTGGAAAAGCTACATACACAACATGAGTTATGTACAATAAGTTGGAGTGATCTAAGTTAAGCTCAAAATCTAGAATCTATTGGTGATAATTTATCTAGTAATGAAGTAGATTAATTGATGACTAGATAATTCAGTTGTTGAAATTGAAAAAAGTGAGTAAACTTGAACTTTACTTGAATGTTGATTCATGAGTGTCTCAATATGAGCAAGTGAAACTCTCCAATGAAGAATTGTGAAATGATAGTCAAGTTAGTTGATATGTGGGGTGGATGTCAACATGAATTTCTACTAATTTACTATGTAAAAATTTGAAATATTTTCTTACTAAGAGTCTAACAATAACTCAAGTTGGGGAGTTGTGATAAATGCTAATTATCATGTGTAAAGAGTATGAATTATCATGTTTGAGAGTTTAAATCTTATGATCTAGCATGTTATTAGATAAAAAACCTAAATTTCTCATTTCTTTGAATTTTCTATGAAGTTTAATATTTTAGAGAATTTTTCAAAAAATTACTATTAAGTTTTTCTATCATAATTAATTTTTTTACTAATATGAGAGAATTTGATAAATTTTTTATATGATTTTATGATTTTTAGGAAGTCGATATATGCTTCAATAGATGAGATTTAATCTAGAGATGATGCGACTAAACCAAGGGTCGAGATGCTGACATGTGGCATCATCAAAGGAGGAGATTGAAAATCATTGAGAGCATCTACACAAACGATAGTAGATGGAGCATACTTATCGGGGGTGTAACAGATCTCATCATTGAGGAAGATCCTATGGCTGTGACAAGATTTTCAGATCCAATACTTCAGATCAACCCAAGAGGAAATCGACTCTCGTTCCATCTCATCTTAACCAAATATACAAAAAGTCCCTCACTCATTCGCAGCCCTAAATCATATGATCTAGGATGAATCAGCTCATGGATAACACGCATACATTCATGCTTTGATGTACTTGAACTGTAGGATTTTAGACATACTTGATAGAAATCATGCATGTTATCACTTAAATCATTCATTTTGTGTAATCCATATATAATTGTTTCAGTCACAAGTTACATGTTTTTTAGCACATCTATGGTTTAATGTTGTTAGACTTTGTGGAAGTTCAACAACTCAATTCTATTGATTATTCTCTAAGCTTACATGTGCAAAGTATTAGGCCTCTATTGGGAAGAAAAGAGACGAAATCCCAAAGTCTAAGCATGGAAGAATTGGACCAAAGACAAACCCAAGGACTTGGAGGTGTGCCCATAAGTCAATGGGCCTACAAGGGCCAGACCAATAGAGCACCAATTGAAGCTTGGAGCTCAATGTGGATCTCCGTGAGCCCAGCCAAGGTCCAGCTGGTGCCAAAGCTGTGGATGCATATTTTCATGAAGTCTAAAGGAAGTCCATCTAGAGTCAATGCTCAATAAGATAGTTGGGGTCCAGCTGAAGCCAAGGCCCAAACATGCAGCCCAAGGCCCAACTATAAGGAGCACAGCTGTAGCCCAAGGGCCAATCGTGCTGGCTGAGGGGACAAGCTTCAAATTGCTGACCAATAGAAGAAAAAGAGTAGGGTGGTGCTGGCACCTACTCCTGAAATATGCAGACCCTAAATGCCT